ATTTTGTATAGATTTTTTAAATATCTAACAAGCATCTTTTAAGATGAGACGTTCAAGAATAAAAGCAGTGGCCACAGTACCAGTGCGTCGAAGGGCGTTACAAAGTGCAGTTAAAGATGAAACAAATAATTCTAACGATAATAAAACAAATGAAAATAAAGATAATGATAATAATATAAATAATGATATTCCTAAGAATATTAATAATCATGAGAATACTAATAGTGAAAATAATATTATTAATGATATTAACAAAAGTAATGATAATAATGTGAATAGTGATATTCCTAAAATTATTAATAATCAGGAGAGTATTAATAATGAGAATAATACTATTAATGATATTAATAAAAGTAATGACAGTAATGTAAATAATGATGTTCAGGAGAATATTAATAATAAGAATAATATTATTAATGCTATTAATATAAATAATGATAGTAGTATTACTAATGATACTATTGATACTAACGATAAAGAGTTATTAAAARATAATAACGAAGTAGATGTACTTGCAAGTGTTTCTAAACCGACCAGTGAATCAGATGAATCAAATAYTAAAGAAATAAAAATTGTAACTAAATCTCAAGAAACACAGAAAACACGTGTTATAAAGGAAGAAAGCGTTYAGCTTGAGTTGATAGAGCAGATCACTCCACAAGTTACGGACTCTACTGAATATTCTAATACAAATATAAATGGTAAGTTGTTTTAAGTGGGTAATTATTAAACAAAATGTATTAACTATAATTTGAATTCAGTGTTAGGATCTCCCACGAAGACTGGACAGAATCGATCATTATTTATGAGACCCGTACCAAGATTAAATAACAGTGGTCGAATAAGAAGTAACAGTATTCAAGGTAGCGGAGCTAGTATTTTTATAAATAATGATAAAAATTGAACTCTAATAATGTTATTAATTTATGCATATTTTTAGTAATAGAATAATATTTAGTATTTTATATGAAATAAAAATAAAAAATAATGTGTGTAGATCACACGTGTTAAAAGTGAAACCTTCAAAAAACTAAGTTTCGAGAGAATGAGACGAATGCAGAGTATTAAGAGTAAGATAATTGTAGGATTTTTTTATTATAATATTGTTACCATATATATCAAAGGGAACCGATATGATCTTGGGATGGGAGTAGCTGACAAAAACTAACACTTTCCAAATTCTATTCTCGAGGAATAAGGTACTCCGATCATATATTGGGTGTTTTCAGATAACAATATACACTCTTTTCGATTAATTAATAATTATTTACAATACATGGAACACAGTACTTTACTCTATTAATATTTCAATTGTTTAAGCTAAATTATATTTGTTTTATCGCTCCTGCGCAGTGATGACTTCGACTGTTAAATTATGCCTTAATATATAAGAAGAGAGTGTATTAGAATATTAAAATAATTGTTAAATTATCGAAAGGAATGTATATGTTGTTTGAAAACACCCAGTATATGGTCCATGTACCGTCCTCTTCGAAATAAACCTTGAGACTGGCACTTTTTCCTCTATAAAAACATTTCTATTAAATTTTGTTTATATAACTCTCCGAATGTTACGCATGTGTGTAATGGTAATAATATTCCTTATAAAGATAATATAGGGTTAAAACGTTCGGAGTACGATTTATTAATGACTAATGACGTGAATAATACGTAACTAAGTATATATGGAGAATATGCAAATTAATAATTATATAAAAATAATCATAAAGAATGAAATTAAGAAAAAAAATAAAGGCCAGATCATTCAATACGATATGTTGAAATATAAAATCGGATAGAGAAGTAAATACTCCTTACCTCTACCCTCCATACATCGATCATATATCGATACACAGTCGATATTATAGGCACGTGTGGTGTTTCGTAGTTCATCTTTTTTCCACAGTTAGCGCTAGAGTCGTATATGCTTCGAGTGAAAGGTAGCGAACATCATTAACAGTATCATACCGGCTGATAAAATAAAATCATTTTTTTAAATTAATCACAACTATTTTATTTTTCTATTGATTTTTTTCAATAAAATAAAGTGAACTAAAATCAATTTTATTTGTAATTATTAACATTTGAACTTGTCGATATATTTAAGTGATAACAATTTAGTTTACATATAATAAAAAAGCTAATCGCTCTCGTTGTCAATTAATCCCGTGACATAGGAACGAAGTCTTATTCGATGACAGCATTTCTAATAACGATAAATCGTTAATATTTTGAAAGATAATTGCAATATCGTCGTACGATTATTTTTTCGTGTTTCTGTTGTACTATTTATAGAAGATGTGCGTGTCAATTAATTTATTAGGTAGAGAAATGTATTTATTCCACCGAGGGATGAACAGTTTTGGTAATTTAAAAAAAAACATAGTTAAATACTATAAATTTGTAATTCTTATAAATAGCATCTGACTAATTCATAGAACATTTTCTTGACATCATACATTTCAGGAATAAAATTAAGAAGATTTCATAAAAGTCCCTTGGTATACTATACTTTGAGAAGAGACGTATTTTCAAACAACAACAACACTACACCAAATATTTTAACTAAAGAACAAGCTAACATATTAGCAGGAAAATTATCTCCAGAGGAACGGATCACTCTCATGACTGCTCTGAGCAAATATCAATCACTGGACGAAAAAGCTTCGTATGAAGGTAATTTATTAAATTAAATATATATGTATAAAGAATAAAAATTAAATAATTATTTTATCTTTATTTTTCAGCTCAATTAGCAGGTATTCGTTGGAGAAGTAAACTAGGAAGGCCTACAAAATTGCCTAATCTTGGTGAGGTTGATCCTACTGGTACTTATTGTCCTCTCCCCGAGGATTGGCTTCTTCAAAAGTCTGGTAATAATATTAACAAATTTATTTGAAAACTATTTACAAACCGTAATCTTTATTTTTATTTTTTATAAATAATTCTATATACAAAACATCTCTGTGATCAATTCTAGTCAATATTTTATGTATGAATTTTATTCAAGAGTTACATAAAAATTTAATATATATTTTACTAATACATCTATGTAAGTTTATATATTTTCATATATCTTTAAACTTTTCCACTAAACTTTTTATTTACTATTTTATTTAACTTTCTTGTATCTGTTCATTTTACTATCTAAAATAATTTAACTTTAACAAATAATCCTTTACATAGACGAATAATACTCACAATTTGGTCTTGCGCATGTTACAAAAAATATATATTATACTTATAAGTATTTTTATGTTAATTTTATATATTTTAGTATATTTATATGCTTAACTAATGAATTATTTGTGTATTTTTAATAGATATTTATTAAAATGTATTCATATAAGAAACTAATAATTAGGCGCTTTTCTTTTTTAATTATTAAATTATTTTCTCTCACATTAAGATGTTTCGTTTTATGTATAATCTATTAGATATAAAATATTTTCTTTTTACATTAGTAATACTTCTATAATGCAAAATATCCTATTTGAAAATGATCATGTAATTTCATTGTAATTGTCTATATGTAGATAGAAATTCATCAAATGGAGCAATGTATGTTAATTCTCATAATAAATTATCACTTTTTTTAAATTATGTGTACTTGATTGATATTAAGCAAATCAATCATAATCTTTATTTTTAAATTTCTTAACAATTACAAAGTTCATTGTAATTGGTAATGCTTTATCCCTTATTATTATTACTATTGATATTATTAATATTATAAATTATACAGTCTACTACTCATTTTACTACTCTTAATAAACACAACAACCTAACATATTTTTCTTTATATGAGATACCATGCAAAGTTCTTCATAATAGAAATTGTGCATTATAAAATTGATATTCTTTTTCAAATTACAGCTGAAAGTGATGCAAGACTGAGTAATAAAGTCCTTTTAAAAGGTATGCAATGTAATAATGTAAATCTATCTATATAACATATATATACACACACATATATATATATTTAAATCAATAATAATGATATAAAAAAATGTTACAGTTGCATTTATAAATAGTATTCCATTTATTGCCTTCGGTTTTCTCGACAATGCCATCATGATAGTCGCTGTATGTATTGAAGAATAATATAATTTATGTGTTCAACATGTAACTGAGAACTTTTAGGGTGACTACATCGAATTGTTTTTGAGCAACAAGTTTCCTATCTCAACTATGGCAGCTGCAGCTTTAGGAAATACGGTATCCGATATCATAGGAATTGGATCTACAAATTGGGTAGAAATTTTAGTAGAAAAGGTAGGAATTAAAAGACCACATTTAAGCAACGCACAATCAAAGCTACGAAGAACAAGGATGGCTGTAAATTTAGTAAGTTTTCGATTAAACTTATATTAGTATTCAATTGTATTTATATTTATATTTAACTTTTATAATGATTTAGGGTAGAGTGGTTGGAATTACTATAGGATGTCTACTCGGAATGGTAACAATACCAGCTGTAAACTTTTTCTGTAATAGGTAAACAATTTTATTACACTACTGCATTTTAAATCACGTGGAAAAATATTTATAAAACTATTGGCACAATTTTATTCAATGGAAAATCATTTTATGCATCTTAATAGAGATACATGTTTAAGCGATATTTATAAATGTCACGAAATCGTTCCATTTCCGTATCTCAATATCCCCTTGCTAATATTTAGATAGATATGTACACATGTATAGATATGTAGATGTATAAATACACATATATATATTTAAATAAGAAAAATATATATTTTCTACTTACATATATATATTAATTATTTAGTAATTAGTTTATTACTTATTGAAATCACTTGAGATTTTTTTCTGAAAGGTATGATATAAGTGAATATTGTTGAAATCATTATTTCCATATTATTATTACAGAATATATTTATTATAGAGACTTATTATTAATATAATCTTATTTATACATTGTTTGTAAATTGATACAAAAAATATATATATATATCTATATATCTTTACGTAACTTTCATAAAATCTTTAATTAAATTATAGAAATTTATCTGTAGTTTAAGTAAAGAAAAAAGAAAATCATTCTATTACTAATTTCAATGTATAAATAATTTTTTTTTATTTCCGTAAATGTTCATAGAAAATACTAAGATCTTTGTCAAAAAAAAAAAAAAAATTTCAAAACAAACAATAATTCCTAATGCAAAGTTTTCTTTTCATTGTACAATTAATATTGTAGAAGAATTACTATTAATAATGAATTTACTTGTAATAGAAAATGAGATATCATCGATAAAGTGTACATTATTCATTGGTACTAATGCTTGTGAATTTAAATATGTATCTTCGTGAAGCCAATTAACGATAGAACGTAACCATTTCCAGGATGTGTTTACTCCTGCATTACTTTTGCATGATTTATCAGATTTTGTAGCATGTATAAAATCCATCGTTGTAAATACATCTGGTATTTCAATATCTTGGTTTAGTCTTTCTTTTTCTTCGACCATATTGACGCTTACGTTTGTTATATTTTCAGTATTTCTTGATATCATTGAACCAAGTTGTGTACCTGGTAAATGACTGGTAACTATAGCAGATCCCAAAATAGTTACAACTCCAATAGCATACGCTACTAAACAAACAGAATATATATTTATAAATTCATGAACAAGAGATAGCAGTTTAATAGAATCCATAAGACAGCTCAATTCTGTATAAGAAAACCAGCCACGTTTTTGAGCTTCTTTATAGGCAATATCTTTTTCCAGTTCTTGTAGTTTCTTCCAAAAATCTTGATTTTGAATAAATACACACCAATCCTATAGAAAACAAATAAAAGCATTAAAATAATGTTTTATTCTAAACATACGCTTTTTGAAATAATATTATTTCTATTTACAATAGCATTTAAGAACTCCTTTTCCAATTGATTCATCTGTGATACACTTAGATTGCTTGATAGAGCCCATTCTTGATTAAAAACTTGATCTTCTTCTCCGTCGTCATTCAAAAATTTAGTAGCTACCATCTATAGAAAAATAAAATAATCTTTATTTAATATGGAAAATTAATGCGTAACATCTGTTTTACATGTAAGAAAATAAAATATTACTAAAGAAACAAGAAACAGTTTGGAAGGTGCCACTTGATGGAGATACTCTGGATTACAATCTTTTAATTTTTCTATATATAATAAAGCTAAGATCAAAGAACATGGGGAAACGCAAGCATTTCTAGAAATTTTACTCGCTTCTTCCACATCTAATCGATCTAATGTATGATTCACCCCATTAAAAAGTTCTGCCGCCATTTCTAAAAACATTAATTTGTCTTCATTAAAAATACAAATTATTCTTTTTGCAACAACAAGAATAAAAACTGTTAATGACAAATAAAATAAAAATCATAACATTACTAACCAGTAACAGGCAAACTGAGACAATCCGTCACAGGAAATTCAATATAATACAATGATTTAGTAATTCTATTTAAAAAATCATTATGATCTTTAGAGCCCTTAAAAAAAAAATCAATCATGTCTATATATGAACAAAGATAAAAAAGTTGATTAGAAGAAGATAAAAAAAAATAATGTTTACCTTTAATTTAGATGGAATAGACGTTTCTGTAGAATAATTTTTTGTCATATTGAAATATTTTGAATGATCTTTAATATTATTGATATTTTCAGATACTGTTATTTTAAAAATACCTAATTACAAATCTTTATGAAAAAAGGCGAAATACGATACAAATAACATACGAAATAAATAACAAATAGATATATTGTTACGTTATGTTGTGTTATGAATTTAACCATAGAGTTAATGCACTATCAAGGAGATTGTGTTATAACCCTAACCTCTTTAAACCTTAACTATATTTATATATACATACATACACATACATATATATATATATATATGTATTTATATATATAATCACATATATTATAAAAAAGATTTAATAGAAAATTTCAAACAAGGATGCACTGATGTTCAAAGATGCATTTAAATATTTAATATTACACGATGCAAAAATTATCCTTATTTATCCATGCAATCTACTTTTCATTCGTTCTGTCGATAAAGTAGAATGTATGAAAATAGTAATAATAATACCTTAAGAGAGAACATATGACACGGAAGCCAAAAATTTGCATTTGTTTTAGATCTAATTAATACTTCGCATATATATAAATATATATATATATATAGTTTTAGCTTAAAGATTTAAATGAAATATATGAATAATACATTTACTTGTTTTAATATATGAATATATTTATATTATTTTATAAAATTTATATTTTCTAGAGAAAGATTTTTTTTTTTTTATTTACAATAAATATCTAATTTTATTATATAAAACCAACAAAAGCGCAAAATAATTTGATGAAACGTATTTACTGTATTTTGAATAACAAACAGCGTTAAAAAAAATACAGTTTATTTTTCTAATGATATATTGTTTTATTAAAGTTGGAAAAATTTTGAAGACATATCTTAGAAAAGAAAAATAATTAGCTTGTTTTATCTTAGCTTGTATATTGCAGTTGTTATTATCCTTATATAATAAAATTAAAATATTATATACATATATTCAGCATTTATATAAACTTTTAAACTAGTGCATTGTAATTGCGTTAGAAAATTCGTTAATATGTTTCCAGAAAGCAATTAATTAGGTAAACGTCTATTGTATGATGATGATGATGAAAAAACAACCTGTAAAATAATGAACTTATACGGCAATTTGTGTTGCGTATCATACTAACATAGAATGCAATGCAATGCATTTGGAAACGATCAAAAGTGATCCGTCACTAAGAAGAAAATGTCTGACCTTAAGAATACGTCACATGATGGCTTCCACTTTGGGAACTTCTCATTGGCTAGTTTCTTTCCGTTGATATCTCATTGTAATATATTTTTATTTAAAATTCTACGAATTATCACCTGATATGACACAATGATAGTAACGATAAGATTCGATGGGAAACTTGATAAGGTATTAAATATTAAATAAAACAAATGAATTCTTTTGTTATTATTATTGAATTTAATATAGAGACGTAAGATTTTAGAACATTTGTTTGTCAGTTATATAGAAGCTTAACATACATCTACATATATATGTGAGCTATGGCCTGAAAGACAAAGAAAAATAGTTACCGAATTGAACGAAGAAAGGAAGAAATATAACGCATCCAAAGAGAATAAATATTTTGTCTTGAAGATTTTGGAAGATTCGACGATGTTCTCTGCTTTGTTGCTTTGCTAGAATTAGATATTACAAAGAGAATAAATAAGCTTTACATGTCATCCAATGAAAAATTGTTGATCAAATGTATTCTTTTTCTTTTCAATTAATTAATTTATCGTAATGAACAATAATACTGATTTGAAAATGTTCGGAAAAAAGCAAACTAATGTAAAAAAGTATGCAGTAACATGACTACTATGACGATTTGTGATCTCGCATTGCAATTATTATGTGTTAAATGTATGGTAAGCGAAGAGTAAGATTGTATACATTTATATATCTATTTATGCATGTGATATATATGGGTGTGGGTATATATATATTTACAGCATACAAGCGCATTCAGGAATGACGTAGTAGCTTGAAGAAGAAAAATAAACGATATTAGAGAAAACGTTAAAATTGAATTGCATTAATAGGTAAATAAAGAGTATTTTCTAATAGTTATATTTCTCTCTCTCTCTATCTCTCTGTTTGAAAACTAATAGAGCAAAACTGCTACCAATTGAGTTTGTATGTTTTATAAACTCATGCACGGTGTGCATGCGCAGGTATATACCCAACAAATACACATTATATATACATGCACATAAATACATAGTTAGGAATAAATGTGTAAAATATACGTATATAGAGAAACATCCCCTCTCTAGCATTTTCTCCCCCTCTCTAGCATCCCTCTCAAGCGTCCAGCATTCGTAGTTCGGAAACGGAAAAGAAGGAACCTCTTCGGGCCATCGTAGTCTCATACGTTGTTGAAAAGTCTCTTTTACTCGTTGTCACGCGCTAAAAATACTTTTCTACGACCGTTCGAGGGTATAACATGCCGAAAGAAAAGAAAAATTAGGTCGATAAAAGTGATAACAAATATTATCCTAGAATTGTCATGGAACAGCTAGGAAAAATCGCGGATTATTTACGCGGGTTGAAAAGTTCGCTTTCATCATCATCATCATCAGCTGTAACAACTGCAACAACAGAAACTACAATAGCAGAAACAGCAACACCACCACTAATACCATCATCATCATCGTCAACACCAGCAATTACACCAATACCAACATCACAGCCAAAAGCAGATTCACCAACAACACCAGCAATAATTGCAACAGCAACATCGTCATCGCCGTTGTCCTGCGATGTAACAAAGATGAGCCACGAGGCCGATTCTTCAAGGAATTTGGCTGTCCTTCTAGAGAAAAAAAATGACCAAGAGTTTCGTAATAATGTTAACGATATTGAGACTCTGAATAAATTCTTTAGAATTTTGGAGAATATCATACTATGGGAAAACCCTTATAACAGTTTATATACAGTGGGTGTTTATAGTATAATCTTTTGGTGAGTGACCAATACTTTCACTCCTGTGAATACATTTTTTTTTTTAGATTATTGTATATCCATTAATGTGTGTTGCACGCACGCGCTTCTCTTTTCTCTCTCTCTTTCTCTCTCTTTCTTTCTATCCATTCTCTTCTTTCACTCTCACTAACACAACAAATACACATTACTCCTTTGCTCGCTCCTGACTCACTCACCCATACACACATAAATATGATATATATATATATATATATGCCTATACTTATACCTACGTATACATATACCTACCTATACATATACTTATACATCGCACGCGTGCATGCACATCGATCGTTTTGAATTGCGATCGCTTGTTACATTACTTGCTGACGTACATATATGTGTACTTACTTTTACACGCGCATTTCTTGAGATGCAATGTTTGATTATCACCTCTATGCACTTGACAATAAGAATTAAAAAATATAATGTCGCATATGTATAACCCCTAGCGTGTACACTCCTCCATCGTTTCGACTCCATTGTTTCTCATTCTTCTACATTTATTTATATTTATTTATTACAATAAGCTGCATTAAAATTTTAGAAAATGCATGCGGTAGGTTTCTGCACCAATAACATACTTAAGGTACAGTATTCTAATACCGTGATATTTAGGGTGCATAATCACATTTATTTATATCTGTAAACCTACTAATAATTAAAATCCATCCAATTTTGTTCTTATAATTTCAACAATACATTAACTTTGTTATGCTCTAATATATTTATATATATTTTTTATAACTAATCCATTGGATTATTAAAATAAAGTTTAAATGAAAGGCAAGTGTTTACTACTAATTTTTCAGGGGGATAATTTTCCTAGACATCCGAATTTTTGCAGCGGCCAGCATCATTGCACTTTTTATGGTTCTGGGTTTTAAAAATCTGGAAACGCTGACACAAGAAGAGAACAAGGGAGAATTAGTGTATGTTATTAAGCTTCAAAAATATATATATATGTATGTGGGTTGCGCATGTGGGAATTCATTTTTTTTAATTTTATTTTGGTTCAAAGCTTTGGGATTTTTAATAACACAATTTTCGATAAACGAATGAAATTAATTAATAACTGAAAAAGTTGTTATATTTCAATTTATGGAAAGGTAGAAAAAGTTATTTTAGACGTAAATTAATATTCAAATGGAATATTTGAATAAAGAACGTAATTTGTTTCAATGTTAATTTTTTCTAATCAAATTTTGTTTATTACTCTTCAAACGTTTCCATTAATATAATATTGAAAAGTTTACGGAAACGTAAAATGAAATATTTCTAGATATTCAATGATTATTTTATTATCTTCATTAAAAGATTTACAAAGATTTACTTATATACTTGAACATTATGCATATTAGATGATCAAACAAATCGCATATGCATAATAAATTGTCCATTTTCAGAATCAACATAAACAAGCTTCGCAATATGTTTATAGATCACAACCCAAAGCTGAACAGATTGAAAAAATAGGAAGACAAATAAAATACTTATTCCGGAGCATACAGCAATTGCGGGAAGATCAGCCAGGGGTGGTATGTTATCTTTTAACATTTCTTATTATGATTCATGTTCTTTCACTCGGATAATAATATTCATACTTATGAAATATGTTTACTGTGTATATAAAAAGCATTAAGCAATTTATTTGACGTATTTGAAGATAAATGAAGATAAAAGCTCACACTTGTAAATTGTGTAATAAAATTATAGTTTTGTGCCACTACTTGTATCTTATCCTTGACCCTATGGATAATTGGGCGCACTGTGAGTGGAGTATTTCTCGCCTATATATTAGGTCTAAGCATTCTAACAGTACCTGCATTACTACTGAAGTTACCTGGAACAGTAATATCACATAGAGGTAAAAATAATGAAAATATAATATTACATATTTGATATTAAGCCATTCTGTCTCTTAATAATGCAAGTGCTTTATCAAATTATTATAGAATGGGATAGCGAAGTAGAAGAATTCTTACCTGCAGTAACTGAAGATAGTCTTCAAGTATTAAAAATGGCAGGAGAATCTGGTAATCATTCTCCAACACCATTGAACAAACAATCAGATAATCAAAACGGTATGATTCTTACTTTTATATATCAGCACAAGTGATAGTAAGATATAATAATAATTTTGTTCTGTTCATTACAGAATTTTTTAACGATGATGAATTCAATTTTCTAATGCCATCTCACGATGAGAACAGCAGTGATGAAGTTGCCTCAGAATTAGAACTTAGTGGCGAAGAGACAGATATAGGTGACATTAAGTTCCAAAGCAAACATTTTGAGAAAAGTTCATCCTCGGAGGAAGAAATAGATATTAGACAAGAAATGCTGAAAAAAAAATTTGATCAAAGTGATGAAAGTGATAATGAATTTGTAATTATTGGCAATGAGGAAATTGCAGATTTCAAAAATCTATGAAGATAACTGAAACGTGGGTATATTTCTTTTAAAACTGTTACATACATGCAAAATAAGATGGAAGAACATAATTATGACTCGTATAAGTATTGGCTTGCTTCTATTTTTTTTTTTATATAGAAATCGGAAAAAGTATTTTTGTTAAACATTAACACTCTCGCTATATTTGCATATATATTTTGTAAAAAATCATTACACATGAAAAGAAAAATATGAATAGAAAAATTTTAGTAAAATATAACTAAAAGAAATTATTAAAAAGAAAATCATTATTTTTATGCTATGTGTACAGATACATACAACAAAGTAACATTTAGAAACTATATTAATAAGGTGTAGATGGAGACCCTTCTGTGATCTAGACTTAACAATGAAACGTTGAATTGATACATACTCAGATACATTTTTTGATGGTACATACAAATATTTAAAGATATAAATATCATATAATAATATAAAAAATTAAAAGCAGATAGTACATATATATCACACGCTTAACGTTATTTTAATTTAATATAAGATTAATCACAATATGTTTTACAATTTGAAAGATCAATTCTAACTAGTTTTGTTCCACGCAAAAAAGTAATTACAATTAATTTGTTCATTGAAAGATATTTATTAACTCCATATTTCTTAGTAAACAAATCTTCGCAGCATATAATCTCTGATGTGTAATAATAAGAATTAAAGAAAAGAAAATTTCTTTATATAAGAATAGTAAACAAACTGATTCATGTATTTATAATTAATTAATATATTTATCACGGGTGAGCTCCATGAAGCACGTATCATTTTGTAAATTACCATATATTATTTTCTCTTATCTAGGAAAAAGTAATAACATTGTATATTTATCTAAGAGATAAATAGGTAGATTAAAATCAGTTAATAAGTTTTCAGAATGTGTTTTTGTTTTCGTTTATTAACAATAAGTAAATGAAAAAGAGCTATTGTCAAAATATATTCGAGAACATACATCAGATTACAACAAATATATATATATATATATATATTGTATCGTAAGATGGAAAAAGAGAAAAAACAAAAATACTAGTAGCATATAATTAACATTCAATCAATTGCAAACAACCGATGAAATAACATTTTTTTCAGTTAAATTTTTTGCAACAAAAAATATTTTTTTATTATTTTGCTGACTTAAAAATTATTATTAAACCGTTTGTTAACTGCTCAATTATAATCTGAGATTAATTCTACGGGTATCTTATTACGATGTTTTTATTAATATTTTTTATATACGACAGGAAATCTCATGTAAATACAATACCAAATATTTTTAATCATGGTGCATTGTGTAAATAATAATACAATGCTTATCGCGTAAGCTAGATTGAATGAAATCTTCTAGTTTTTAGAATTCAAGCAAAATATACAAAAATGAATGACAATTTGTTGAGATAAAATCAAAGACTGAATATAATAATGGGTTATATTTGTAATCGAGTAAAATTATTATTGAAATTCAGATTAAGAATTATTTTTCTTTGTAATGATTTTTTATTATTATCTTTTATTTTATTTTTTGCGGTAAAGCAGACGGTAAAGAATTTAATGATATAGTTTTATATTTACTACTCATCGGTAAATAACTAATTTTTTATTGATTTGATTGATCTAAGCGTTTTGTTTTTTTTAAACAAAAATTATTATTCTAATCCATTTTTATTATACAAATTGTATTACAAAAATAAATCTAAACTAAAAAATATGTTTTTAATTAGCTTATTATAAATGCATCATTTGGTAAATTATGTAATTATCTTAACATTTACAACATTTTATTCCCTAGTATAGGAAATGAAGTAGATTAATTAACAAATTTTATTGTAATATTTGGAATAATAATAATTAAAACTGCAAAAGATTGAATAAAAAGTATAAGTGATCTGACAGAATCTATTTTTATACGAGAAATGTTTATGGCCTATTTAAAATGGTTTCTGTGATAAGATAACAGATCATGATTATTATGTTTCCACAAAAAAAAAATGTGTGTACATATTGCGTTATTTTTACAATTAATTATTAATAGTCGCAATTATTAACACATTAGTAGTACAATATGTACATGATAAATTATGTATTTATTGTTTCTTTCAATGAAATATACCATCAAATTGTAGGTAATTGGTATTAAATAATAAAATTTTTACACTGATTAACTAAAAATTCCATAATTCAAAATTCAAATTTTAATTCGACAAAATCTCTTAAGTATATAATTCCCATTTAAATTTTAAGTATATAAAATGCATTATGTCTTTTGTTTTATTTCTTTTTAATAAAAAAAAAAAAAAACTGTGTGCTTTTTATATCACATATAATTTATCTAACAGAAACGTTTAATTGTGTGGTATAATTAAATGAGTTACTTTAATTAATCATTTGATAGATGAACAATTAATTTTCACTCTCTCTTTCTCTCTCTCTCTCTCTCTCTTTAAATTAATAATACAATATTAGAAATTTGTATAACTTTTTAATCTTGTTTGAATACATTTTCTATATTACACATATCTTTATCACAATTTTGTTCTATTTCAATATCATCCGTTTGATTATATTCTTCAGTTGTCTTTGTAGGAGATACAATTGGTTGGGCTTGTTTACGTTCTGGTAATACTTGAAGGAATGCTTCTTGCCATGTTTTACCTTCCGTTACTCTAAGTAGTATTTCAAATACTACAAAATTAATTGTATATTTATTATGATAAAATGATAAGAAAACAAACTATGATAATATATATATATATATTTAAATTAATATAATTTCTTTTACCATGATCAACTGTTAAAACTTTTCTAGCTTTCATTAGGAGAAATTTATCCAGCGGTAAGCGACCATGTTTAATCCCACTCTCTGTTGCTAACTGATGACACAGACCCTAATAAAATAATAATAATGAAATTGATTAAAAAAAAAAAAAAAAAAAAAAAAAAAAAAACAAATGAAGAAATATTGAAAAATATTCAATTATAAATTACCTTATGACTATTATGATCGACCAAGCCACCTATAACATATATACAACTGTGATCGAGTCTATCTATCACATTTTCTGATTCACTAGTAAGATACACAATTTTATCCTTTGGATAAATACTCTTATATGAATCGCATTCAAATTTTACCTGTAATTTAGAAATTTTTAAGTGTATTTCAAATAAACGTAAGGAATAGAACAAGAAACGATATACGTACATCCCAATGTTCATATCCGTTATGCTTCTCCATTTCCTGTTTGGATTTGCCATTAAAACTTGTTAAAGAAAATTGTAAAGGTGCAATAGCTCTTCTGTTTAAAGCGTAACACCTTAATATCTGTTTAATCAATTTTGCAATATCTTTATCTATCATTAAATTATCAAATGATAAATCAATTGTAACAGTAAGCTTACAACTACTCTCTGCCATAGTACTTCTTTTTAAAGCTTTTCTAGACGGTCCAAGATTTATATTATTTGCACGAGCAAATGCACGTTTTTCTCTAGCTTTAGCTCGTTCTAGTTTTCTACAAAAATATCAAATAAAAATAGATTTAATTAACTGTGAGCAGAAAAATAAATGTATAATAATACAGGGGAAGAGAAAGAGAGAAAGAGAAAGAGAGAGTTTAACTAAATATACATTTGTGTTCTAAATTATTAAAATTATTAATTTATTTAAAAGATAGAATGAGTACCTTTTTTCACATTTTCTCTCCAACCATTTTTCGGTTTTTTTTGCCCGTTTTAATTGCCGTTTACTTAAATTTGTTTCTACATGTGAAACCTTATTATTATCAACTATGTTTTCCACATAATCCATGGCTTTTTCATCTAATCTATTATTATTTTCAATATTTTCCATATTTTGTTAGATTTATATTTAAAGTAGGAATTAATTTAAATACAATTATATTATATAAAAACAAATAACATGTTACATTTAACTTCTGTACCAAAAATTGGTCTGCATTTTCAATATGACACAAAACTCAACGTGATGAATAAAACTGACATCTCGCGGATTTCATGTCCATTCTTAACTGATCGATTGGTCGATCACGAAGATTATTCGATTAATATTATAAACAATTAAATTTATAATTGCAGATTATTCACAATATATAGTTGTATAGATAAACACAAAAATTCTTTGAAATTATTTGATACGTTTTTTATGTAAACAGAAAATAATAAATTTTATTTTAGAACATTTCTATCGCTAAAACAGTGTTCTAATTAATCGATCTACGTTTATATAAAGTTTTTCTGTTGCATTATAATAAAAACGATTCTATTAAAAAAGTAAGTTAAAATGAGAATGTATTTTAAAATTCCTTATAGAATATTTAATGAAAATTAATATTTATCAAAGAATAAATATTAATTTTCTTCAGATTTGTTAATTGCATTCAATAAAGTAGCTGTAATATCTACATTTATTCGAATTTTTTTCATATTTTCATCAACATCTTTTGCAACTCGTTGTATTTCTTGCATATTCTAAAACAAATAAAAATAACACATCCGTTAACGTCTCACGTTAACGTCAGATTAAATGATATTATAAAGTTTTTTTTCTTAATACTTATTCTAATAACCATTTTTATCTTCTCATAAAGATCTTTTTTATCCGCACGTTTTTGCAATGATTCGTCCAATGATATCGAAGTTGCTGACGTCTCCGAAGTTAAGTTATTCATTGTTATACACGCGACAATAAAAAAAATAATACTTAATTAATTTTTAACGTAAAACTTTTTAAACTTAACTATTGAACATTATTATATCTCAATTTAAAAAAATCATAAGACTTTCCAATCAACGTATAAAATTTTTATGAGGAAAATTCACGCCATCTATTGTAAAATCAGTTTTAATTCTTAACATGTTTCAGTGAGTTCAAACTAAAAGCGCGTTTCTCGAAACGACCAATAGCATTGGATTATCGATAATAGAGGAATTTGATTGGTCGATCGAAATAAAATTCTGCTTGAACTTGTCAAAAAAACTTTTTCCATTCGATATTTGTCTCTTCGTGGATTAGAAAATTGTACGAAACGAGAAGGACAAATGATATGGCAGAACACGTGTATAGTTACATTTACTAGCTGTTCTATTTTATAGTGTTTGCATGTGTTGTGTGTGTGTTGTGTGTGAGAAATAGAGAAAGAGAAAGAATATAAAAAAATACTGAGCTCAGTCTGCTATATCTTTCTGTCAAACTACAATGTTCATCGGTGTAACGTATCCGTGTATAATTAATAAGACGAGTCGATGAAAGTAATTACAATTGTATAAAATGAATAAATGAAATGTCTTTTTGCGAATTTTTACGAAAGATGTGTCATGTGTAAGTTCTATTATTTATTATTTTAATATTAGAAAATATTTCTTATCGACTAGATGATTTCAAATTATCTTAAACTATTTCGAGAAATATTTCATAGATTACTCCTTTAAGTATTTCCATGTAACCTTTAGAACATTAACTTTTTATATTATAAATAATTTGTGAAATAATTATGTATTCTTGTAAATAAACATTCATTCATTCATTCAATTGAACAAATTATGAAATTAGAAATCACAAAGTTATACTTTTCAACTGATTTTCATTCTTATAAATATAATATTTCTGATCAAACACATATATACAATATTTTTCTTATTATTATAATAATGAATCTAAAGAATTGAAAATCATACAAATGATACTAAAATATAATTGTAATCATAGTTATGTTTGTAATGAAACACATATAATTGATACGTGCTTGTAATGTCAAGTAATTGTAATTCCAATACCTTGTCCAATAAATTTCTAATATAATATATTTGTTTTATGTTACAGGGGTCCGTGAAATGAAAATAAATTAATGAAATTAATTAAAAGTATGTTGTAAGAATGCCATCGGAAATAAAAAGTATTGACACTTTAAGTGGCCAAGATGAGGAAAGAGAAAGACCTACAGAAGAGTTGGCAACATCTATAAAAGGGAATACAAATAATACTACATTAAATGTAGATAACAACAAGGAGACTGTAACATCAAATGATAGAACTGAAATAATAGAAGAAGCGGGTAACTCTTCTGTATCATTCGATAATCAAATATTACCTGAGAATGGTTCTTCGCAACAAGGGGAGATTGAATCTCTCCAAAATAAAATAACAAATAATGTTATTTATACTACGCAAAATCCAAATAAAAAAGAAACTCTACAAACGAATGCGTCATATATATTAGCATCTAAAGGAAAATATGATGACAAGAGTGAGCTTTCCAAAGATGTTACCGTCAATGATAATGCTATGTATGAAGAACTCGCACGAACTTCAAGTCCAATGCCTGCATTGTTGTCACACAAAAATTTAATTAGGAAGAAGATCTTTTTTGCAAGTTCAGACAATGAGTATGAAAAATTACAAATTGATCTTGAATCTACGTTTCCTGATAGAAATGTAATTCAAGAAAAATGTGTTAATTGGAATCCAAGGAGTGAACAACCGGAAGCTAACAATGAAAGTATATTAACTAGTTTCAATTCTAAAGCAACAAAAGATAATTGTAATGATATGAATGCAGATAAATCGTCAACATTTTCTCATGAATTACCTGATATACATTCGACGTTTGATAATGGCTCAGCAGATGTTAGCAATGCTATGAATTTAATGAAGCTATTAAAACTGCCTAACGATAGTGATAATGATTCTTTATTAGATAGTGCCAGTGGTTTTACTAAGGATAATTCATTTGTGCCAAAACGGTTGTCAAGTCCACTCCCTACTCAAACAGACTCGCTTGATTCCCAGTATAACTTAATCCCTACTATGAAGCCATTAAGCATACAAAATACTGATAATAAAGAATTGGTGGATGATGTTAATGACACTAATGTCTTATGTTTACATAGAATGAATGAGACACCACAATTACAAGATAGTTTTACGAATTTGCCGCACTGCAGCAATTTTATGATTACCAAGGATAATTTGCAATTAGATGATATTAACCATAAAGACTCATTAGAAAAAGATAAATACGATGTAAATAATTTAAATAAAGTTGATTCATTATCCACAAATACATCTAAAAGTGATATGCCAGTTGAAAATATGTTAACTGATATGCCTCATAGTAATATTATAAAGGGAAAGAAATTATTTAAAATGTCCATTTTACGAAACGTAGATGAAGCTGCAGCAATTCCGCCAACAGAATTAGAAGAAAATGCTATAGCGCTTTTAGAACCATCCATTTCAAGGCAAGGACCTTTATTAGAGGAAGCACAGAGTATAGAATTGGATCATCGTTCTTCAAACAGTAGTGATGGAAGTAATTCCGATACAGAATCTCAACAAGCTGTTTCAACTCGTAACAGATCTGCAATGGTATGCTTCAAAAATAATATCAATTCTTATGTTGAAAATACAACTATGATATTTTTCAATATTCTATTTTAAATAAATAGCATGCTATATAAGTTTGTTACTATTATGTAATTATGACATTTAATGTTAATATTTTTATTCCATTTATGAAATATATCAAACTCTAATCTGTTTTTTTCTTGTACAAAAACAAAACTTGGATTTGCTATTTACTTGAATAAATTAGAAGCATGTGTGTTCTATTGTAGAAATTAACCGAAACTAATGGTATAATAACAAAAGAAGGGGTAGAATATTATCAGCTATGGCGTAGCACTGCCGGACTTTCACCCCCTGAGTCTTTATATGAAACGCTCTATCCAAATCCTCCACCCCTTCCACCAAGAACAGTGAACAAATTCTTGCACAAAAGGAATGCATTACTACCAGAATTACCAAAAAGGCATCTTTCAAAATACCCCGCGCCTTTGCACCCTTCAGATTGTTTTGGATTTGAGATCGTAGATGTTGACGAAGCATCTAATTTGAAGGTAAAATTTCATTTTATAAACTGTTTATTATTACACATACATTCTTACACATTTGGAAGTCTAAATATTTTGTTTATATCATCTCTCTTCACTATTATTAATGTATATATTTACACAATTACTGTTTCTATTCATTATTAAATATTGTTTCTTTTGTAAGTGTATATTATACAATTTAACTCATTGTACAAATACACAGTATGTTTCTTATATTGTAAAATAATTCTTTCTAGACAAGGACAGCAGTAACCACAAGTATAGCATTGTTAAGTTCACCAAGAACTCATAGATCATTGACAAGACCAGAAATAGGAGGATTATCTAATTCATCAGAGTGTCCTCCAACACCAACCCACCGTCCAAAACCTTTACGACCATTACCAATGTGTCAAACGTCGAATATATCATTATCTTCAGAAGAACCGTTACCACCTTGTAAGAAAATTCGAATATAATATTAATCAAATATATTTAATGTATATTATACAAATTCTAATATTAATTGTATACAATTGTTTAATTCTCCCATATTCTCATTTAAGCATGGGAAGCACGAATAGATAGTCATGGTAGAGTATTCTATATAGATCATATTAATCATACTACAACATGGCAAAGACCTACATTAGCTACTCGAAATACGGGTTGTGATCTTCGAAGACAACAACTAGATAGGCGCTATCAGAGTGTTAGACGTACTATTTCTCGGCCTGATAATATTGATCGTGAGCCTTGTAATCCCAGTACAAATGGAAATCATAGCGAAAATAATGAAAGACAAAATGACAGATCCACTGAGAGAACAGATTCTGAGACTTTTGATATTACAACAATACCACCGGTGCTATTTTTAACAAGACCTGATTTTTTCAATGTCCTTCATACTAATGTAGAAGCTATGGAATTATACAACCGTAATCCAAGTTTAAAGCATATGATTAGTAGAATTAGAAGAGATTCCGCTATATTTCCAAGATATGAACATAACAGAGATTTAGTTACTTTAATTAACTTTTTTGCTGATCCAACAAAAGAACTCCCAAGAGGGTACGAATCAAAACTCGACAGAACAGGCAAAGTACGTTAAGTGTATACATGTTATTTTTCTTATTTTTTTTTTTTACATTTTCTGATATATAATTAAAGATTTATTTACGATTTACCATTACGGCAAGTACTGTTAAATTATCTTTCAAATTTCTCAAATATTATATAGATAATATTAATAATATATAAATAAAGAAATAATTGAATTTTAGAGATTTTTCATTTGTCATGCACGGAAAGCTACATCATTTATTGATCCAAGATTACCAACTGAAGCTGCACATCCAAGAACGTTACTGGATGAAGCACCTACACCACCACCCAGACCACAACAATCTGCTATTACGACAACACCAGATATACCTGTAGCTTACAATGACAAAGTTGTGGCCTTTTTAAGACAACCAAATATAATAGATATTCTAAAGGAAAGGCATTCAGCATTAGGACAAAATATAGCATTACGTGAAAAAGTTAATACCATTAGAGTAGAAGGTACCACAGCCTTACAAAGACTGGGACATGATGTACCTTTAGCATTATTGTTAAGGTACCGAGAAATAATATTTCTAATTTACACTTATTATTCAGAATTTGTTATATTAATAAGAATATTATTTTCAGTTTGTTCGAGCAAGAAATTATGTCATATGTACCTGGAAATGTTGGAAGATCTCCAATTGGTAGTCCACATGCGTCACCAGGTCTAACAAGAGCTTCGGCCAGAGCACCAGCTCCATATAGAAGAGATTTTGAAGCTAAACTTAGAACATTTTATAGAAAATTAGAAAGCAAAGGATATGGACAAGGACCGGGAAAACTTAAGTAAATAATTTAATGTTATTTTAGAAAATAATATCTTAATGATGTATATTTTAATGAATTTTTGTTTATTTAGGCTGCATATTAGAAGAGAGCATTTGCTGGAAGATGCTTTTACACGTATAATGGCTGCTACTAAGAAAGATTTACAAAAGGGCAAATTAGTTGTTATTTTCGATCACGAAGAAGGTTTGGATTATGGCGGTCCATCTCGTGAATTTTTCTTTCATCTATCACGTGAACTTTTTAATCCTTATTACGGTTTATTCGAATATTCGGCGAACGATACATACACCGTTCAAGTATCTCCTATGTCAGCATTTGTTGATAACTATCACGATTGGTTTAGATTTTCAGGTAGAGTTTTAGGTTTGGCATTAGTTCATCAATATTTATTGGATGCGTTTTTTACAAGGCCGTTTTACAAAGCACTTTTGAGAATACCAGCTAGCCTAAGCGATTTAGAAAGTTTGGATCAAGAGTTCCATCAAAGTTTAATGTGGATTAAAGAAAGGGATATAAGCATAGAACCGTTGGAATTAACTTTCTCTGTAACTGAAGAACTTTTGGGTCGTGTAGCTGAACGTGAGTTAAAACCAGGTGGAAGAAATATCGCTGTTACAGAAAAAAATAAAAAAGAATATCTTGAAAGGGTTGTACGTTGGCGATTAGAACGTGGCGTCGCTGAACAAATAGAATCACTTGTTCGGGGCTTTTACGAAGTGGTAGATCCTCGATTGGTATCGGTCTTTGATGCACGCGAATTAGAATTAGTAATAGCAGGTGCTGCTGAAATTGATCTTAACGATTGGAGAATGCATACGGAATATAGAAGCGGTTATCACGATGCACATCCTGTGGTAGAATGGTTTTGGAGTAGTATAAGCCGATTCTCGAACGAACAACGACTTCGATTATTACAATTTGTAACTGGAACTTCGAGCATTCCATACGAAGGATTTGCAGCTTTACGTGGATCTACTGGACCAAGAAAATTTTGTATTGAAAAGTGGGGAAGACCAAACAGTTTACCCAGGTATTTTTGCTTTTCCTTTTTTTTATTATTTCATAATATAAATTAATCTATTATAATGTACAAAATAATAATGATCAGATCTTTTTTTACAGTTTAATATATGTTTTAACGATAAATTTAATTTAATGTTTTTTTATTTTCAGAGCTCATACTTGCTTTAATCGTTTGGATCTTCCACCATATCCTACACCAGAAATTTTATATGAAAAATTATTATTAGCGGTGGAGGAAACCAATACCTTTGGAATCGAATAAAGCAATGTGATGTAGTTAAATTTACAAATTATAAACAATAGTCTAATATATTGAATCTTATAGCATAATGAAAATAATTGAAAACTTTTTCAAATCGCAGCTGAAAGCTTCGTTTTAACAAAACGTATTTGAATATTCCAAATTTTCTAAGAGAATTTCTTTTCTTTTTTCATATTTTTTTTTTTTTTTTTACAAAAAGATATTCAAGATATATCGATATGTACATAAATAGAATTATAATCTGGTCTCTTTGTGTAGCGAATATTATTAATAGTGCGTGGTGGAAACGTTCTCTTTGTTCGTCCATGTTTTTTTTTTTCATACGTCTAGTTATTTCTAATATATTTTCTAATTGAGATATCTATACATTGTATAGTGTGTAATCTTGAAATGAAGTATAGCTTATCAATTAACGGTAAAAATATTGCATTTCTGTTAGATATAATCAATACGATATAATAATAATAATAATAATAATAATAATAATAATAATAATAATAATAATAATAATAATATAATATAAAATTCGTGAGAAGCATGTATTTACTGGCAGCTGATCTTTTTTAAGATATTTAGAAAAATTGGAAAGTATTCCCACCAAGTGCTATTATCGTTTCTCGCTCTATCGTATTCTTATAATTGATAATATTTCGATAAATGAAAATATTCAAATTCCAATGGTTATAGATTTTTCCTCTTTTCATTGAATGACACAGTTGCAGTTCTTCGATGTTATAAATGCTTTCCAAAGTTTATTACGAGTTATAATAAAAGTATATAAATTTTAAACCAATTTATAAATAGTTCGCAAAAAAAAAAATGATGCCTGATAAAAATCATAAATAATATAACAAATAGCTTTTGTCATTTAAATTTTTCTAGCATTTAAGTATATTGAATTTTCTAGTCCGTATTTCATAATATTGTATCAGAAATAGCAATTTTGTGAATCCTATATTTTGCAACATTCCATATTTACCGGCTTAATTATAGTATAATTAGAACGATATAATATAATATTTAAAAGAAAACTGGATAAGAGCATGAACTAAGTTAGTATTTACATATTGATCGTGGAATAATAATTTAAAACATGATATTAGATTTAAAATATCTTTATTTAGAAAATATGTAGTATATATAATTCGGTTATAATTAAAATAGTGATCTATTTGCAAAAATTCAACACAACACGCTTAAATGTATAATATTTGATTTTGATAATCAAATAATTTATATTCAATGATACAGTTAATAATATTGTTATTTGCATCATTATATAAAATCATATAAAAATTAGAATTATGTATACAGGGTGGGGCAATAATACACTGTCCATTTTGAATATCTCTGTTATTTGTAAAAGAGATTTCTAGGTCATCTTTCAAATGATTACAATTTCGAATATCTTCTGTAATGTAATGAATTTGTTTTACTTGCTACACCCTGTATACATACATATATCTCTTACGACTTATTTGTTTGTAACTTTTCATCTTGTCTGTATCTCGTTGCATGACTAGCAAAATATTTCTAACATATTATATAGAAAAAGAGAGAAGAAAAAGGAAAGAAAGAATATTTCAATGTTTCTAATGTGTAAATTATTTATTCAATAGAAATACTATCGAGTTAAATAATGCGTATTAAAAACTATGTTAAGTATTTCATAGAATTACTTACTTGTATTGTTCAGGAAGATGTCAAATGATACAACACTTTCTTTTGTTTATAAGAAAATAATTGCATATTTAGCCAGAATTAATAAAACTTATATTAGTAGTTTTTCCAAACTAGTCATGTGTAGTAAATAAGTGAAAATTTATCACTTTACGCACACTGTATTTACATAATATATATGTAGAAAGAAAGAGAGAGAGAAAAAAAGAGAAAGAGAGAGAAAAAGATGTTAGTTATAGATATTCATAATATTTCTAATTATTGAATTTCTTCTCAAAAAAATAGTAGAAAATAAAACTGTACTTGCTCGCTATATCATGTTATTAAAATATATTATTAGTTTACACTTTCATTCTTAAACTAATATAATCGTATTGTAAAATACACAAATATGTACACTGTAAAACTTATGCCTGTGATTTGATTGATTGATTGATTAATTAATTAATTGATTAATTAATTAATTAATTGATTGATTCTAAAGCATATACAAATTTGGGAATAAATTTGATATCATGTTGAAAAATAATGAAACATTTAAATTTCTTATCGATCTATAATTTGTAGAAATGCTCTGTGTATCTTTGGGAAATATATTTGAACCCGGAGACCCTTTAAATTCATTATTGGTCCTTGGTAAATCAAAGTCTGATCATTGTACACTATCTTCTTCATCTGATTCATCCAAATCAGTTGGCAACCGTAACGTCGCCGAATTCTTATTGTAAGTATTTCACTATCTTCTTCCCAATCAGAACTTAATTTGTTATTAATAAGAAAGGTGTGTGTGTAGATAATATTAAATATAATTAAATCTTATGAAATATTTATTTAAAAATTACTATAAATACTTACTTATAAATATTAGAGACTTCGAGACTGCTATTAATGTTAATGATACAATTTGAATAAAATAAACGAGAGATATCGTATTAGATTAAAACAAATCCTTGTTAAAATTTTTTATTTCTTAATATTGAGATATAATATACGACATTATTTCTTTTTCATTAAAAAATAAAATTAATTTATTATTCTTATTTGTATTTTAAAAGATCAGATTGTTATCATGAAGCAAATAATGCAATATGTATATTTATTGTCTTTGTTTTCATTGTTATTGCATAAAGGATGTTACAGAACTTTATAATAATTTTATAATACTTTATAATATGTATTTTTTTTTTTTATACATATATAATATTATAAGTTTTGTAATATTTATGCCCTTGTTTTGGTTAATGTCAATGATATTTCATTTTAATAAGTGAAATAATTTACATTTACATATTATTCAAATATAAATAGATTAATTAGAGAATACAATTTAAATGATATATATACAACACATTTATACTGTTCATTTTGTAATGAAATTCATTAGTAGAAGCACATCATTTATACATATAAAGAATATCTATAACTATACTTTTAGAATAATATGATTCATACAATACTAATATACTATATACACAAATGATTTTTATCCTACAAAGTGTTATGGTAATAAATATTAGTTAATAGTTTATCTTATTTACTTTCTGCAAAATTAATCAGTTCATATATATAAAAAAAAATAATTTAATTGAACTTACATATTATTTAACGAATTTGTTATACAGATCTAGCAAAGTTTGTATTCTATATTAAATTTGATAAATTATATTTAGGATTAGTGCAATGTGGGATTAAATAATTATTTGTCCAAGTTAATTATAGGATTATAAAAACTAATTAATAACAATCAATAATATAAATATATATATATAACTTCCTTTATAAATAACTCTTTCCTATTAACGTTCATGACATTATAATAAGTTACATATGTATAATTTACTAAAATAATTACTGTTTTATGATATTCTCATTTTTACTTAATATGATTGATGAATTATTGTGAAATCATAAAAGGAAAAAATGAAGAAAGTGCCGACCGACAAACCATTAATAATAATAGCACATATGCTATTATTATTAATACGGTTGTTGGTTTATGTACATATTTGCTTATTTTAGTTGAAAATTTCGACCTCCATAAGAAATATTGCTATGTCATTTATATACAATAATATATTATACATAAGGAAGAGGATTTACAAGCAAGCAAGCAAGAACGTATAAAATTCCAAGAAATATGTTTAACCGAGCTGTTTGTTTAGGCACATTTTGAATCATATGAGGACTTCGAAATTGTTTTTCTATTTTGAATGCAGTTGGTAAAGTAATAACTGGCAATAGGAACCAAATGGAGTATCTTAATGCAAGTACTACTAGAGTTATGTAAGGAGTAAATAATAAAAATGCGTATAAAACGTGTGAAGCAGTGTATCCTATTAAAATAGCTAACGTTACAATTCCTGCTTTTTTGTCACTTTCTAAATCACGTGTATTATTACTATGTAGTATAGCTTCTGTATTTAATGCAAGTGGTATTGCATAATATATGGTACCTAATTCGATATAGCCTGTTTGAGCCATGAATGCAAATAAAACTGATATAGGTCCAAATATTACTATTATAAGTACATCGCCTAATGCAATATATTTTAAACCTATGCCACCTGTATAAAGAAATGATGAAGATAAGCCTCCAAAGTATACTAAAGCAAGGTGTTCCATTTTTGCAGGAGATATCGTTGTTAATAGAACGAAACCTATACATCCGATTGCATATAACAGCGCTCCCAACGAAACTAATTCATCTTTAGACAAAAGATGATCTACTAGTATTCTATCGTCACTTTTTCGACTATCCACACCTTTTATATAGTCAAAATAAGTATTTACTACATTACCAGCTCCGTGTACAGATATGACTGTACATAATGTTAAAATTAATGATATCCAACTAAAATTTGTTAAACCTATTAAACGGTATGCAAGCGCAGATCCAAGTAACGTTGGCACCAATGAAGCACTTAGAGACCATGGTCTAAGAGCCAAAAAATATGAAGATAACTTCATTAATGGTGAATTTAATGTTAACGATGTAGACGAAAGGTTGCTTATGTTGCTCAACGTAGAACCATCTTCAGATTCCTTTGCAGGAGCTTGAATACCATTGGACATCATGTTTTACATTACACTGTAAATTGAATACAAGTATGTATTTTATTGATATTACATCAACTACTTCTTTAAAAGTATAATTATATATTTTTTTTTATAATCAAAGAAATCGTTTTTAATATATTATTAATTAATCATAGAATAATTAATTTAGTTAACAACCAAATCAATTTTATATTATCTTTTATTTGTCATTAATATAACCTTATCATTTGCTTTTTTATGATTAATAATTTTTTAAATTATAATTTTTTAAACCGAATAATATAATGAATACTCAGCATACACACACACATATTATATATGTACCTCATTTTTTAATATTTAAAGATATATTATTATCAAAATTGAGTTACCTGTTATTCCTCTTTGATAATGTAAAGTAAGGTTAAAAAATTTTCCATGGTCTTATTACAAATCCAGTTTCTTTTCTATATATAGTGATCCTTATAATATTTTAATTGATTTAAAAAAAGAAGATAGTCAGTGAAAACCAGTTGGATTTAAATAATATTATTTTTATATATCTTAAGAGAATGCTGACGTGTTTTCAATAATTCACACGTGGCGCTCTCTAATATAATCCATTTTTTTTTTTTTTTAATTTAAATGCGCTTAACATTAAATGAACAAATTTATTTATAATTTAATTAACACGAAAATATGTTTATTTAAACTATTAAACAAATAAGTTAATTAATTCTTTCCAATTTGAACTGTTAAACATATGTGATTGTATAACTACAACTAAGTATATGTAATATATACAAAATCGAATATGTGAATATATTAATTATTAAATATTTTATTGTTTAATAAAAATAACGTTAGTTTATATGTAACATATATAAATTGGAATATGGTCTACGAACTTTTAATAATAAAATGTTATAAAAGTCAGCGTTCAGGACAAATATATAGTTCCGTTGTCATTAAGAAACCGTATGGGAGAAATTCTACATGTGGTCAGGTAACCCTTTCTATGTCCTTCGTATGCGAAATATGATGGATGGAAATTCGATCACAGGAAACTGTCATCATTAATTGCTTATTATTTATAATATGCTAATGGCAGAGAGTGTCCAGAGTAAAATAGCAAGGCGCATTCGTCACATTATATCGCCACGTGAAAATGGTACCTTTAACTTATGATTATTGTCACGTGATACGCATTAATCTAAAATATTCTTATTGACTCGCTAATAATATTTTTAATTAAAATTACAAATACATACACATTCAAATACCTAATTGATATATTTGAATAAATTTGCTATAATGTTTCCAATAGATGCAATTAAAAAACTAACCTAATTTGTAGAGAATTTAGGAAGAATATTATTATTGGCCACCCTGATGGTATGAGTCGCATGGAATTTTATCATGGCGACTGTTCAGGTAAACTTACGAATTTCGGATTTAATTCAGTACATTAACGATTCGTGTGTTTTGTGATTCCTCGTTTTAAAGTTAACAGAGTATAGTGCGCGTTAAATTGAATTGAAATTTGATGTGATCGGGAGGTGTCTTTGGTGGAAACCTTTAGTGGCTTTCCGTGAAATATAAGCGGATGATGTCAGTTATCGACGCAAAGTCATGCCACGAGGAAGACAATTCAAATTTGACCGAGGACGATTGGAAAATGCCTGTAGCTTTTCAAAAACCTCGACATACAACAACAATCGAGGGTATCAATTGTGTTACCCAAACTTGGCGTATGAAAGAACGGGTTGGTTCCTTTTGTTATTATCGTTTTTTAAAATTTTAATTACCCTGAGGTTTTTATGAGTACTTTGAACTTTTTACTAAAATAAGATTACTGTAATATTTATTTATTTTTCAGATGAAAACAGTTAGTGTGGCATTAGTACTTTGTTTAAATGTTGGTGTGGACCCACCTGATATTGTTAAAACACAACCATGTGCTCGTTTAGAATGTTGGATTGGTAAGTGATTGTATTTATTTTACTTACCATTTGTCTTTTCATCATTGTTATACAGTATAAAGTTAATGTTTTAATTATAACATAAGACTTAAAATTAACAAATAAAAAATTACATTTATAATTTTTGCATTATAGATCCATCATCTGTGAGCCCACAAAAAGCTCTTGAAATGATAGGTTCCAATTTACAGAAACAGTATGAAAGATGGCAGCCTAGAGCACGTTATAAACAAAGCTTAGATCCTACTGTAGAAGAAGTTAAAAAACTATGTACCTCTTTACGAAGAAATGCTAAAGAAGAAAGAGTTCTTTTCCATTACAATGGACATGGTGTACCTAAACCTACTAGTAATGGTGAAATATGGGTTTTTAATAGGGTTGGTGAACAAATGATTTTTCATTTATTTTATTACATATCATTTTGAAAAACGGATTTTCTTCCTTCTTTTTACAGACTTATACACAATATATTCCATTGTCAGTGTATGATTTACAAACATGGATGGGAGCGCCAAGCATCTACGTATATGATTGTTCTAATGCTGGAATTATTGTCGAATCTTTCCAACAATTTGCCGAACAGCATGAAAAAGAATACGAAGTAATAACGTTTTGTTAAATTCACGTTTACAGTTATAAAAATTATACATTTACTTATATGATATTAATTTATATCTTTCAGATGGAAAAACAAGCAGTACAACAAAATTGTGCTACTGGAATAGCTAATTCTTCTATCCCATCTTATAAAAATTGTATTCAATTGGCAGCATGCGCAGCTAATCAAATTTTACCTATGAATCCAGATCTGCCAGCAGACGTGTTTACATCTTGTCTTACTACACCGATTAAAATTGCTTTACGCTGGTAAGAAAATAAATTTATTAATATTTTTTCCTTATATTTATGAATGTCATTTTTATGCAGGTTTGTTATGCAAAATACTACAAAATTAATCCCAAAGATATCTCTGGATTTAATTGACAAGTAAGATGAATATTTATTTTCATTCAATTTTGATATTACTTATTGGTCAATCCAATAAAATATATATATGTACATATTTTACAGAATTCCAGGTCAATTGACCGATAGAAGAACAATGTTAGGGGAATTAAATTGGATATTTACTGCAATTACAGATACCATAGCATGGAATACCTTACCTAGAGGTACATTTAATATTTATACACTTGTATTACTTTCAAATTATCGATAATAATAATGAGTTATTAATTAAATATATTTATCTTTTGCAGATTTATTCCAAAGGTTATTTAGACAAGATTTATTAGTTGCTAGTTTGTTTAGAAACTTTTTACTTGCGGAAAGAATACTTCGTTCGTATGATTGTACTCCGGTATCTTGTCCAAAGTTACCACCGACATATCAGGTAAAATGCAACAATTTAATTAACTTAAAAACTCTTTCATTAAGTTTGGTATACATGAATATTATCGTCTCTATTTTATTTTAAATTTCAGCATCCAATGTGGCAAGCCTGGGATTTGGCACTTGATTTATGTTTAGCACAATTACCACAGATTTTAGAAAACGAAGAACAATTTGTACATTCTCCATTTTTTGAAGAACAATTAACAGCTTTTCAAGTTTGGCTTACATTAGGTTCGAAAAATCGCAATCCTCCAGAACAACTTCCAATTGTCTTACAGGTGCTTTTGAGTCAAGTTCATAGACTCAGAGCATTGGAATTACTGGGACGTTTTCTTGATCTTGGCCCGTGGGCTGTCAATTTAGCATTGAGCGTTGGAATATTTCCGTATGTTTTAAAATTACTTCAAAGCAATGCGAAAGAACTCCGACCTTTGCTCGTGTTTATCTGGGCTAAAATTCTTGCAGTGGATAATGTAAGTTATATTTTAAATTATTTTATCATTCTTACATCCTTTGTTTTAATACTTATATTAATGCATAGCCGTTATTTGAATTGTAGACTTGTCAGGCTGATTTAGTACGAGATGATGGTCATAAATATTTTCTATCCGTTCTGCAAGATACTACAATTTTGGTATAAAATTTAAATATAAGTTTTAGTAATATCTGTAAACAGTAAATTTAAATGAATTTATTATCAATTTTATTGTTACACGGATATCTTTAGTAAGTAATTATATTTTAGCGAGAGCACAGAACATTAGCAGCATTCGTGTTGGCTTGTATTGTAAATGATTACCGACCTGGACAAATTGCTGCCAATCATGGAAGTCTTGTATCAATTTGTCTTGAACAATTAGGCGATTCTCATCCTTTATTACGTCAATGGCTTTGTTTATGTCTTGGAAGACTTTGGCATAACTATGATAAAGCAAGATGGTGTGGAGTAAGAGATATCGCTCATGAAAAACTTTTCATATTGTTACACGATCCTGTTCCTGAGGTATAAAGTCTATTTATTTTTTTTAATGTATATTATAAAAAAAATAATGAATAATTATTATATTTAATTACGTAGGTAAGAGCTGCTAGTGTTTATGCACTGGGAACTTTTATAAACAGCGTTACAACTCGAAGTGAACATGCAAACAATATTGATCAAATCATTGCTATGACACTTATTAATACTATTTCTCATGACATGTGTCCTTTAGTAAGAAAAGTATGTTTTCTTTTTATAATTATTACCCCCATAATTATTTGTAGTAATTAAACAAGAACAAAATTATCATAAAACTCAATGAATTTATAGGAATTGGTAGTAGCGCTTCAGTGGATGGTTCTACATTTTGAGAATTCATTTGTGACGCTAGCTCTAGCTGAAGAAAATAGTCAAAAAAATTTAAGTGTAGAAACATTATCGCCATTCAGTGGAATGAGGCGTATTAATTCAAGAGATCGTTTGAAGCTGCTATCTCCTATAAATATGTACACTGTAGACACAATCGATGGACTTGGCCAAGACCGTATGAAAAGAGTTTCTTCTTCGTCATCTATTAGTAGTTTAGGTTAAATTTTAACGTCCTGCGACCATTTTATATAATCTATTGATCTCACTATAATAGTTACTTATATTGTTTCATTCATATATCAGGAAATAATTGGGAGTTCGTGAGGAAACCTTGCGAGTCACTTGGTAATAATAATTAGGAATTCAATTGTATGTTTTTGATTAAACATTTTTTCTATTATTTATGTATATAATAGATTTTATTTATATTTTGAATTTTAATTATTTTATTTGGTGACAATATATTTTGATATTTGTATATCATCATGATATATTATAATATATAATATATTTATATATATATATATATATATATATATATATGTATTATTTTTATAGTAATCCTATTTTATACTTTTCATTAATTTAGTGCTTCTTTTTATTATCGTAGGTCACAGTTCTTTGGGAAATTTGCCAAGCTTATCTTATGGTAGCGTATACATGAAATTATGGCATGGACTTTGTAATCTTGACAATGATCCTCACCCTGCAGTCGCTTCAATGTCTCAGAAAGTAACCAATCATATTCGCAGACAGGTAATGTATATTGATACGATAAAAAGTAATATCTTATTAGTATATCAGTAAATTAAAATGAAATTTTTAATTTAAAATTTCAGGTCAAGGAGTCATCTGTGCCTAAAGAAGTAGTAGAGACTAAAATATCCTCATCGTTGTCACTTCCACCATCTCCATCAAATCAAACTAGTTATCTAAGGTTAGTGAATATATTTTCATATTTAAGTTTTTATTTGAAAATGTTTGTATTTTTTTTTTTTTAGTAATAGTAAGGGAGAATCACCGCCAATAGTTAATTCTGGAACAGATTTAATGCGTTCTGCACGAATATCTTCGCATGGTAATCGTGCAAGAAAACCAGTACCCATTACAGTAAATATACAATACCTTTTTTGCTTTTTCATACAGTAGAAATATAAAAATGAATCTATTATATTTATATAACTTTTCTATTATAAGATATCAGAAGAAGCAGATGAAATATTTGATACCAAAACACCTTTGACTACTTCGCAATTTGTTGAATGGAGTTGTGCACAATTCGCGCAACCTGTTACTTTAAAAAATGAAATTGAATCTGTAAACGATATGGAAAGTAGAGCACATTATGAACGTGAATGGAGGTAATTTGTCTTATTAAAAATAAATTAATATTTATAATCATATAAATTTACATTGAATAATTTCAATTTATGTAAAATGACTTCTTTAGATATTTACGGAACAAACGACAGAGACGCGATGCAAAAGAAGAACAGTTAAGAGCTGTGCAAAATAGAATAGAATCTCAAGTATTCCATGCGAGATGTTCTCAGTCACCAGATGTTCTTACGTTCCATCCGTTTGAATCGCACTTGGCTGTAGCATTGAAGGATTACTTTGGGTAATATTAGTATTTCAATTTAGTTCAGACCAGTTCACTGGTATTTGTATTAAACAGGAATATGTGGTATATATATATACATGTCATTGTAAAATTTCCTCATATCAAAGATGTGAACGTTCTTCAAAATACTTTTCTTTTAAAAAAGGAAATAAATTACAACTTAATTATTATAATTATCTTGAATACAATATGGTTAATATATTTGTACAGAGTATGGGATTGTCAAAATGGTGCAAAATTAACGTATTACGCCAGTCGTGGTAATAGAATGTCAAGAATTACGACTTTGGAGTTTATCAATGCTCATGATGTTACGTTATTAATGGCTGGTTCTGATGATGGTTCAATTAGAGTATGGAAGAATTATAGCAGCACATTAGGTCGTGATCCTGTATTGCTTACCGCATGGCAAGCATTGTCAGATATTCAGCCATTAACAAGAACTTCTTCTGGTAAATAATAGATAATTGCATATTATAAATGTAATATATTTTTGGAAGTAATAAGAAAATGATTTCTATTTAGCAACAGCAGGATTGATTACTAAATGGGAACAAAAGTCTCTAACTTTAGCCGTGACTGGTGATGTTCGTATCGTCAGATTGTGGGACGCAGAAACAGAGTTGAAAAAGCAAGACATACCAACGGGTGCTGATTGTTGTATTACGTCTGTCGATGTCGATAATACAGGTTTGTAATTTTCTAGGCAATCTTATATAAATACAAATTTCAAAGAAATGATACAATACGGAATAATTTTTATTGAAAATAAAATGTTTTCAATTATAGGATCTTTAATGGCATTAGGCTGTGGCGATGGATCAGTTCGACTTTTTGATAGAAGATTGGCCCCATTAGAAGCAAGAATCATGACATGGAGAGAACATACCGCCTGGGTATTGGGAACACATTTGAGAAAGTCAGATGGTTTCATATCACAATTATTTACTGGATCTTCTTCTGGAGATATTAGAATTTTTGACATAAGAAAAAATTCTTCTATAAGTTCTGTACAGATAACACAAGGCATTACAGCATTAGCTGTTCATGAAAATGCTAATGTTTTTGCTTGGTAAGTTAACTGTGCATCATTATTTTTGTTAATATTTCTTTATTTCAAATAAATCCTCTTGTAATATATTGAATTATTTTTTAGTGGATCAACGAATCACTGCATCAGTGTTTATACTACGCTTGGACAACACCTTAATACGATAAAGTTTCACGAAGGTTTTATGGGTACACGAATTAGTCCTGTAAGTTGTCTTAGTTTTCATCCCTATCGTGTGATGTTAGCAGCGGGATGTGTTGATAGTACTATAACTGCGTACGCATCTGAGTCAAGAAGATGACTATTAGAGAGAGAATTTCTGTAATATTACTTTTGACAATTTTTCAAATGATATTTTTTGTAATTAACCCCTTCTGCTATTACCACGAATTAGATTCGTGACACCAATTGCGTGGTAAACGCTTTACACTGTTCTCGCATAGCATAAGGAGTTAATTATTATGATATAAAGAAAAGTACAAAAGGAAAAAAGATGAAAAAGAAAAAAAGGAAACAAAAGAAAGAAAGAAAGAAAGAAAGAAAGAAAGAAAAAAAGGAAGAGGACAAATTTTTAAACATAGAATATTTTTTCTATATATATATATGTTTTGGAATAACAAGTAATAGAAAAGAATTAAATACACAACAACATTTTTTCTTTGTTGTTTAGCATAAAATTATTCTGGTTATGTATATTTCTCTCTGGGTCTAATACTATATATAAATATAAAAAGTATATTTCAATATGTCTTTTGTAGTCAATGAATGAAATAGCGGTTAGCACAACCAAAGTCCTCTTGATGATAATAACCAAAGAGAATTGTAAAGGGTGCAATTAGCATCATTTTTGAAATTGAATTTTTGTGCTCCGTTTAATTAAGAATTTGAAATATGCGTGCGTGCGTAAAACATAATGAAAGAGGCTGTGCAGATAAGTGTTTGCATACATTTGAAATTAAATGTTTTAACACAATTTGTACACGGACAAAAAAAGTAACTTTAATTGTCGTACCATATGAAAATAACTTTGGAAAAAAAATGGTAAAAGCTGTAATTCGTGATATATGAATTTGATATAATTTAAATTCATTTTTATATTTTTAACGAACGATTGTAAGATATGACAAATATCACTTCATTTTTATAACTATTGTTACGAAAAGAAAAAAAAAAAAAGAATACATTCGAGGTGACTACGGATATATGATGTGAAACATTTTTGGTTCTAATTTTTTTAGTCGCAAATATGTGTCACATTTTAAGCTGTGAATGCACAATTATTTTTCTTGTTTACGATTTATTCAAAATTTATTTATATATTTAAATGTACATTAACAATATGTAGATTTATATGCTGAAGAAGAATAAGCAGCATTTTTTTTTACTGTTATTACGGTTACAGTGCACGACTACAATACATATGAGAGATATTCTACGATTTAAGAATATTTTTACGTTATTATTATTATTATTATTCTTATTATTATTATTATTATATATAATTATCGTCAATGCAATGTAACATAAATTATGATATTCGTATATAAGGATAAAATGCTTGTGCGTCATATTTGTTAATTAATTAAACTGTATTAATCCAAAAAAAAAAAACAAACAAACAAACATTAGAAAGAAAAAAGTAGGTGAAAATGTAATAGGAAAAATATAAAAGGAAAAAAAAAAAGATCTATGTTGTTTTGTCGCAGCATAGTTTTCATAAGCATAATGTGCGCTCACATATAATAAATAAGAAATAAACTAAATTATATATTGGCAGATAAATATATAATTAATATATATTACAATTAAATATTGATATCTAAAAATGGATGATAATATGCTTAGGATTAATGCACACGAAAAAAATTAAATGAACGATATAAACAAAACTATTAATAAGAGTCATTATTTTTAAGTTGAAAACATACTTTAATTGATAAAGTTCTACATGTCCATCGTAAGTAGAACAACCATCAGAAATGTATTCGAAAAATTACATTATTTTCAATGTAATTTGATCTTATATATATATATATATATACGCGGATAATAATATTCATTTTCTTAAGTCTTCGAAAATGTTTGTAAAAGTGTAAAAGTAAATAATGCTGACTGTTTAATGTACTTAATCGAAACGATTTGTGATCGGTTGCTTCGATAACATATACAATTATTAAGACACACATACACAAAACATAGGCAAAGTTAAACTCTAAAAATAAGCCTAGAACTATTCCTGTCTGTATTATAAATACTATAAACAGTCAACGATCGCTTCTATTAATTAGCAATAATTGTCAGGTATATCCTGTACATGGTAATTGTTAAAGAGGAAGAGAAGGGAGGTAAATTCCATGTACTTGCTTCGTTCTGTATTGTCTTTTGTATATAATTGCCTGATAATAAATACACGATCATGTTGAATCAAAATACAATAATAGATATATTTTTTTTTATAAATGTAATTTCCAATTAAATAATCATTTTTTGTACAGATTTTGTACAGTAATAGTAACAATAATAATAAATACAATAATGACGATTATGATGATGATGATAATAATATTATTATTATTATTATTATTATTATTATTATTAATATTATTAATACAAAAAGAGATGTGTGTGTGTAAGAAATGTTGGATAGTACCTTGTCTTTTTTTACAATGAACAATGAAACTTAAGTATCAGTCTTATCACTTAATTTGACTATATAGAGACGGCGTGCTTGCAGTACGAAGGAAACTACAACGATAAATCAAAGCATGTTTACCGGAACATATTTAACTTACGTTTTCCTTTAATCTTATCGTCTTTTTCTTATGAAAAGATTCCTAAAACCTGTCTTATGTATTACAGCATCCGATTTTTTTAGATAAGTATAATATACAAGCCAATGACCCTTATTTTTATTTATAATTTTTTGTATATTTTTTGCGGCAAAACATATTTTAGTATAATTATATTATAAAACTTAGGATATTATTTAATAAATTTTAATAAGTATTGGACAAAATTTTATTATTAATTATATTAAATATTAATTGTAGTTTTAAATTTATTTTTATCATAGCGCTGTGTTAATATCAAATTAATTAAATATACGGAATCAGATAATACTTGAGAGAGTATAATTAAATAAATGGAATATAGTGATAAAGAATGATAACGCTACTATTTTCGTTTTATCATCCGTTAATCTTGAAATTATTATTATTTGATTCTACAGGCATTAAGCAATTATTACAGACATATGTTATTATCTACTAGTTATTAGTTATCTGTGATTTATAGTAAATTATACAATACGTATGTAGGTAGAAACATACATGATTAATTTTCTTTTCTATTATTTATATAATAGATTTTATAGAATTTATGAACGATAGTATTATTACTATCATTCATAAATGTAATTCAAATTTCTTACGCGCAATTTCGAAAAAAAATGTGTCTTTTAAAGAAATTAATTGAAACATAATGCGCGCGCATATATAAAATATTAGTAAAGTTAAATTTTAAATATTTATTTGATTTATTTATTTTGTGCAGTATTTATTTATTTGTTTGATATTAAAAATATTATTTTTCTCAGAAGTTAGCTTTCAACTAAGCGCACGAAGAGAATTTATTCATTTCTTTTACGGGAAGACATTTAACGCGCAAATATTGACGATTTTATAAATGAAAGAAATCTTAATTAAAGATAATTGCAATTACAAAAAACATGACATAAAAATTCAATTAATTATACAATTAAAAAGAAAGAAGAAAAAAGAGAGACGTACATCTCTTTATTATCTTCTAAATAATAATATTAATTATTCTTATGTCATTGCAAAATCAGTAGAGTTTATCTGAAAGAAAGAAAAGGAAAAAGAAAAAGAAATACAAAAGAAAAGAAATCTCCCCCTTAGAATGTCAGTTCCGACGTAAAGAATTTCTTGTTTGTTATCGATTCGGATATTAATGTGATAAAGATATTGAAACGGATGAACGATCTTTTATGTTAAAGAATTTCGCGAGAAATCACTTTAGTTGTAGGATTTTTATTTATAAAGCGATATATTCGAAGGGCGGGCGTACTAGGCACTTGCTGTCCAATGAAAGTGCGCACGTGCGGCCCGCATTAGCGAAGCAGCAACGAAGCGCAGACGCATTCTTCGACCGCCGCGAACCGCCGTTGTCGCACAGTTTTCCTTCGGATCTTGAAGGAGTTGGTTGTTTTTCTCCTTGTGATTTACCCTTTCTCTATCACATTCTCTTTCACCTTTTTTTTTTTTTATTTCAATCCTTTATATCTTCAAACCATTTTTGCCGAAGCAAATCTGAGGAGAGAAGATTTTTATTCCATTTGACCTTGAACGAAAAAGAAATTTTATTAAGAATTACGATAGACACACATACACGCTTATATATATAATACATACGCGTACGTATTTACACACGAATGATATTTTGCATCGCGTTCGCGCGTACTCGTCTTATTCTCAATCTCAATAAAATACACACACGTGCGCAAACGCGCCCTCGACCGCGCGCGCACTAACTAACAAGTACATATACAGATAAATATTTATGCTTATAAATCATAGAAAGTAAAGACGCGCGAAAGAAAAATCTAATTGTGGATTGTTTTAACTAGTATTATTATTACTATTACTACTTTGAACACACAACAAGAAAGAAGATGGATCGAACGTCAAAGTTACTTTTGCGAAAGGTCATCATCGATTTTGTCTGCTTAATTATCGGTAAGTGTGATGATATTATTATCATAAACGATAGATTGTAAATCCCCTAAGTGAATTTGATTAGCTGTTAAAAAACTAGGAATAGTAATGGTTTACTGCAAGAGTAGTAGTTGAGTACAATGAACGATGATTGCATTACGTCAAACGGGATGACAGATCGTGACAGATTAAAGCACTGTTAGGCGGTACGTTTGATTGCCAGTCACCTCTGAAGGGCTTAACCTTGCAATTCAATGTATTCGAATATATTTCTAATGGAATGGAATACTTTGGAAAATTGTTTATTTAAAATACTCGACGAAAACACATTGCGAACGGATAACTGTGCACTTGTCTCTAGAGAACGCAGATATCCATGAATTCTTCTTCATCTTGTCTTCTTTGAAAAAAAAAAAAAGAAAAAGATAATATTGTTTTCTTTATCTTTTCACGTTTTTACGTGTATATCATATAAAACGTTAGTTTCTACTTTCCACGCCCAAGAAAGCGATGAATTCGGTCATGATTAACTCAGCAATGATTCCTGGAAACATCCTTGCTTGCTTGCTTGCTTTCTTGCTTGACTTCTTGCTTGCTAGCTTTCGCACAAGGTCCCCACTTCTAGTTCCCAACAATTTACGCAATCTTTCGAGGTCATTGAAAGGAAGGATCGTCAATTTACTATAGAAGTAATAATTCACCTTCGCCAACGTTGCTTGCTCAGCTTCGAATCCACTTCTTTATGATATGCTAATCGTTTATTATTATTGTTAATTCATTATTGTTTTTCATCGATAATTTGTATTAAAAATTATCTTTGACAAATTTCACTTACTATTTATTTTTTATTATTCTCGAGTTATCTTTAAAAAAAAAATCATTTGCATATGTTCCCAAATATATATGCTTTTACTTTCCATTTCATTTGTCATTGTAATTAGTATTGTTGCTATGATTTCTTAGGAAATAATAGGATACCATTTTCTTTGCCGTTATTCATTTCACTAAAATACCGCTAATTAATTTGACAATATGTTAACGCAATAGATATACGTTTGTTTTTAAAATTTGAATAGAAATTTTTCCATAAATTTGCAAGTTACATTACCAGGTTGAGGTAATTCTATATACATTTAATAGAAAGTACGACTAAGGATTTAAAAATCTGAGGGGGAAAAAAAAAGGAACGATTTAACAGGAAAGTTTAACGACGTTTCGGTCTAATTTGTCTGAAAAGTATCTTACGTAAATATCATTTCTACTTTCATCGATCTAATATGAAGAAAGATGACATAGTTTCATAGTGAATAAAACCGACACGCCTCTGAGTTACCAAGCCCTATTGTTTCTCTTATCTATACATAAATGTTTATCGGTAAATGTCAATTAAAATAGGATTCTATTAAAACAAAAAGATATTAGTGAAAACATAAATGATAAAATAATAGATAATTTTTGGTGACATATTATTCTTTTTTTTTTTTATTAATTAAATTGATAAATAAATGATACCAAAATATGATAAAATAATATCATAAAAAGTTAAAAACAGTACTAAGAAAGATTATGATTGTATATTATTTAAAATTGATTAATCAATTGGAAAGATAGTATCTATCCAAAAATATCAAACTCAGGTGATCATTATCTCATTTATTTCTTTTCCCCACCTGTTCAACCGTAATACTTCTTAAAAGCTGATGACAAATAACACGCATGATTTTCAATTCACGTGAATAATCCTACTAATTTTACTAAACACAATTTTTATTATGATGACGTGTTATATTTATTTTAGGTAACTGAAGCAATCGTTATCTTGTTACGTGGGTAGCTTATTGTGTCATTCATTGAATGCACACATCCATAAACATTCTCAGAACACAATTATATTTTTTTTATTTTTTAATAGATAGGAAAAATGAAGAAGGTGAATTCTATTATAGAGTATATGATCCCATACCTTGATATTATATCGAAGTATTATGAATTTATAATTAGTATACAACAATAATTTTATTGTTTTTATATCCGCTCGTCCCAAATATTTCTTTCGTTTTCTCAGTCAATTTTATGGGCGTAATATTTTTTTATTTTGTGCCAAGGTGAGTAATATACAGTACAAAAAAGGAAATAATATAGCAAAGTGAATCATATATTACTTATCGTTGGTAAAATAATATTATATAACAATTATTATGTGTGTGTGTGCATTTAAAACTTATTAAGAAAAATATAAGAAACTCTTTATGGCGATTAAAAGATTTTTCATTATTTTTGTTTTTTTTTAATTCACAAAGACAATTATATATATATTATATACGTTGTAATATTAATGTCTATTAAATTATAAAATTAAAAATACATTTATGTATTTACTAATATAAATTAGCTAATTACAAAAGTTTAAATCCGAAAATAATTAAACACACACATGCCACGTGTATGATATACACATTTATATATACCATTTATATATATATATATATATATTTTAAATACACAAACAATGATATATATGTAATGTAATTTTTGTATGTATAATTTAACTATTATATAAATTGTAGTTAAGAGTTGTTGGATAACATCATTAAAAATCAATTTAAAGAACAATTTCCTGGTAGCGTTTTTACTTCAATTCATTATCGAATAATAAAATAATTGGTTATCGTTTAATTTGAAAATTTCTACATATGGTTGGGTACATATTACCTATGTATTTACGAAGAATTTATTTTAAGCATTTCAACTATTACTAGAGTTTCGTAGAACTTGATAGTACGTAACGCATCAGCGTAAATAGTACATACAATTCTTTAAACTGCATATCTTTAGACGATTGCACGCATTGGAATCACTGAAATATGGTGATTCGAAGTATATGATCTCCTTGTCATCTCATTATTTATCTTTTCTGATTAACATTTAATTAACTAACAATGCCAATTATTATGGATATATTTAGTATAGATAAAAAATTATTTACACAACGTTGGAATATTTTGAATAATCAACATAATCGTATAATAAACATTTCGTTACAAACTTAATAAAACATAAGTTTAATAATATATATATAAACAATTCTTTGTGTATAAATATTATAATTAATAGTATTATTAATGCAACGGTATGTCAAGATTTTTATTGATGTCATCTTGTAAAATTTAAATGGTAATTTAAAGTGCAACAAATTGTACTTGCAGATCGTTCATAGAGAGATTTAATAAGAGATAATGTTTGAGTTTGACTATAACTGTTAAATTAAAGCAGACCAGCATATACAATGAAGATCCTACTGAGTTCACACTATTCATCAATGGTATATGCGTTAACGCTTATTTCTTTGCCGAACGCACACACAATGATCTCTCTCCCTTTGAGACGTCGTTAGGATGGATGACGGGAACCTGCTCGACCCTTTCAGAAAAGAAAAAAAAACACAAACAAACTAAAAGGAGAGAAATAAGAGAGTCAATTCATTGGAATCCGAGAAACACATTAGTTGGGTCGTAAAATTTGAACGTTTCATTGACGATTTGACTAGAATTTTATTGCTAATTTGTATGATCTAATTTATGCTTACCGACTACCGTATTGTGCACTGTATTGCATTTAAACCTCTCTCTCTCTCTCTCTCTCTCTATTATTATTTATTATACTTGTTTCTCCTGTTAAACTGGTATATGATAAAGATATAAGAAGAAGAAGAAAAGGAAAAAGAAGTAGGCGATGAAAGATGACGTATGGTGTTATTTCTATCGCGTTATCGATAGCATTACACTATGGAACGGCTTTTTCCTATTATGAGAAAGCACATAGATATAAATCATTTTTTTTTTTTTTAAATTGTTCATTTCTTTCTAAAACAAATTGTCTCATATATTTTGTGACAATTTTACCATTTTTTTTTTTTTTATTAAACTTATTTTTGTTCTATAAAAGTTATGTTCATAAATTAAACATTCTTTTTTTTTTTTTTTACTTTTTTTTTACATAATATCGTAGCAAATATAAATTCTTTTTCTTCTCGTTCAACTAGATCTAATAAATTATATCATTCTAACGATATTGAATGAAAAATAAGAATTAAAAGTGTAAAAAATTCTAATAACCAACAAGGAAATGTCAACAACGAAGAAATATGCAATAACAATTAATCATGTTGCTGTTGTTGTTTTTTTTATAGCTTGGATTTTAAATGAAAACTCAGGTATTACGCGCTTTCAAGAATTTGTTGTATATTTAACAACTTCGTCAATTGCGATTATGTAAATTACATAATTACTAATATCCTTACTAATTTTTCTTGATTTTTTTTTTTTACTTATTTTCTCGCATTAACTGCGAAGAAATAAAATTACATAGTCGATTCCTGTACGACGTAGTACCAACCCCCATAAATATATGCATGTCTCATGCAAAACCATTCGATCGGGGACCATAATTTTGCAACGTTTACTTCTCATTTTGTATCTTTTTCTTTGACCATAATTACCATACCGGGTAATAACCGAGGATGCTGATGTATGCAGATCGTTACAAACTGACATAATGATTAAAGCAATGCAAATTTGTTACCTGGAAATATCAGGTGAAACTTGTTACGTCTAAAGAGAAAAGAAAAACTATTGAAAGTAAAACAAATAAAGTGAAATAAAAAATTGTCGACAAACAAAGTCCATTATTTCTATTTGATATCTTTTTAACATTTTTATCTTTATGAATTTGTTATAGTTGGCCTAGCGGTTTTAATGTTCTACTGCTTTGGTAAGCCATACAAACGTGGGTTTTTCTGCAACGATGAATCATTGATGCATCCATATCTTTCGTCTACGGTTACGAGTGCCATGCTCTACGTCACTGGTCTCTTTCTTCCTATATGTACGGTGAGTCACCTGTATTAATCGCTATTTCTCAAAGAATTTAAGATAAGTAGCCGAATCAGTGATTATTTGATACCATTATCATTATAAGTATCTACTTCTTCAATCAATGGGAAAAGAAATAGATAGTCGGATTTGTTTGTACATAAGTTTTCAATTTATGTTTATTGAGAATTAGAAATTATTTATGATAGTTTCGAATTGTTCTCTCTTTCTATCTCCTTTTTTTTTATCTGTTGCTTTAATAAAACAAACATAAAAACGAGGAAAAATATCATAAAGTTAAGTGAAGGTCGAGTAAAAAGAAAATAAAAAAGATATGTATGTTTAATATGTTTAAGAATAAAGTAGATAAATGATGTTTGCGGTTAAATTATTTCTACCATAGTAAATATATTTCCTTTCGTAAAATAAAATTCTTCAAATAGTTATTCGGATATAAAAGAGATGATATGTCTAGATTTGTAAGAATCTGAAGGAAAAAAAAGTTTATTTTTATCTGTTGCGAGGTCTGAGCTTTACGGTCTTCTTTGTAGGAAATCTTTAATCTTTTTTGACGTGTAAAGAAATAGAGGCTCAGGTTATTCTACTCTTGGGGAAAAGGATGAAAGAGGTCGACGTCTTTGGATAGGCAGGTAAAATTTCTCCGGGGCTGCAGTTATATTTCATTCAAACAATTCTTGGGGCTCGATCACCACAGCATTGGCTCGTATCACCTGGTCTACCATTTACTTCAAGTTTGACCGGTTAACCCACTTTAGGTATACGGATGTAGTCTTTTACATCGGTGGAGATTCATAAAAGGGTAGAGAGAGAGAGAAAGAGAGAAAGAGAGAGAGAAATAAAAGAGACAAAAGCATTATTACTTATATCCGATGTTCCATCATCCTTTTACGATGGTCATTCAAATATTTCATTTTTAATCATTTAAATGCGGTGCAATTATTGTTAACTCTCTTATTGATCGCTCACTTAAAATAACACTTTTTATTTACTGCAGATGATTGCAGGTGAGTACTTGTATAGAAGACAATATTCTACCGAATCGTCGAAAGTACTTTTTGGATACACCATTCCACCTTGGCTTTGGATGGCTTACATTAAGGTAAACTAATTCATTTTTATTTTTATTTTTTTTTATTTTTTATTTTTGTTTGTTTTTTTTCATATTTAACGAATAGAACAAAAATTAAATAAGATAACGAAAGTTGTTAATGACAAAGTTAAATACCGATAAGAATGCATCAGAGTTGCGACAGTTATTTTTTAACACGTAAATATCATATATTATTTTCATGTTGAATATTATGCACTGTATGAGTTATGAAACAAACTTAAATACCAAATTCTCTTATATTATCTAATATGACGCACATATGAATATAATAATTAAGATTTATTCTTTAATATGGCATATATTTTTCAGGTCGGCACCTTCGGATTTGGTGCAGCTATTACAGTTTTGATAACGGATATTGCTAAATACACGATTGGTCGGTTAAGACCACATTTTATGACGCTCTGCGTACCGGACATTAATTGTTCTTTACCTGAAAATCAGTACAGATATATCGAACATTTTTCTTGCACTGCTCAAGGAATTTCATCGAAATTACTTAAAGAGATGAGGTAAAATAAGAGGAAGTTTTATCAAGTCAAAATTAAACAAATAAATTGAATGATCAATCACTCAATCAATCAATCACTTGATATTTCACGCGCAATACAAATAATTTTTTCAGATTATCTTTTCCATCAGGACACTCTTCCTTTTCAGCCTATACGATGATTTACCTTGCCGTAAGTTGTTTGAAATCTGATCAATTATCTTTTCTAAGAATATATTTTGTAAACAGAGTAATATGACCGTTCTGTTTTCTATTATCGTATCTATTTTTGCAGATTTATTTACAACTTAGAATTACATGGAAAGGTAGCAAATTACTAAAACATCTGCTCCAACTGATATGCATCTCCATGGCGTGGTTTACAGCGATGTCGAGAGTTTCCAATTACAAGCATCATTGGAGTGACGTTTTAGCCGGTTCGTCTATCGGCACTGTTGTTGCTCTCATTGTGGTAGGTATTTTTTCAACTCTTTTCAATATTAACACAGAGCTCTAATTAATTTCATTTATTTTTATTTTATTTTAAAGACTGAGAAATTTCACACACAAAGTATTGTTTATATAAACCTTAATAAAATTGTATATTCGTTTAGGTATTCTGCATATCGGACCTTTTCGAGGAAAGACAAAGTAGCTGTCGAGTGGAAAAACAACAACCAACGGGGGACTACGAAGCAGCGGAAGCTGGTACGCAGGTGAATAATGGCAATGCTAATCACAATCGTTGTCCTAACGAGATCGTTTGTCGCTGATCGCAACAAGGCCATGACTGTCTTCTAGTTGTCTCCGGGAAGCTAGTGCGCTCTCGGGAAAACGAAACGTCGAAATTGCTAGTGTCGGCCTTAATGATGCAACCATCATCCTTTGGGACCTTTTAGTTCAACTGCCTTACAACCGGGATTACACTTTGATGCAGTTATTATCTCATCTGGAAGGCCTTTTCTCTCGCTCACACTTTCTCTCCATCTCTCTCTTCTTCTTCTTCTTCTTTCCTGCCTTTCTTCTTCCTCGCTGAATGCAACACATGCCAATCGGATAAGATAAAAAGCTGCTAAAGGTCTCTTGCGAAGATTCATCCATCATTCAATCCATTCTCAGTTTTCTCCCTGTATAATTACTACAGTTTAACTGCGTACCACAACAAGAGCGGTAGGAGAGAGAGAGAGAGAACTTTATTTTAATTACAATTATTATTTCATGAAAACTTTTGTTATCGTGTTGCTTACGCTTTTGATCATCAAATGTTTTTTTGAACGATCTCGTTTAATCTGTGCAACATTCATCTCGTCTTTGTTTCTGCTCGTAAATTAGCATTCGTTACGATCGTTTGAATAAACTTGTTCCTTTACATAATACATGTATACATAAAACATATATATATATATATATTGTAAACGTCGATAGAACGTAGAAATATTTCTATGTAACATGTTGCACGCTAATTCTTGAATTTTTGATCAATTTAAATATTCGTACTCATTTAGTTATGATCTTTCACCATTGTGAACTTCCATATTGTTAATTTTGTTTTTGTATTTATTTTATTCATATAAAAGCTTTCTAGCTTCTTTAGCAAAAAGCAAACATTTAAATTGATAAAATATAAAGATAAAATGTCTTCGTTTTATGATTAAAAGGTTGTTAGCAACTTAAGAGAAGAGGCTGAAGACATATTACTGGGCAGAGATTGTAACTACGTGCGTACCTAATAATAAGAAGTTGACAAGGCTGAATTAATTATTAATTTCAGCCAATATGCATATACATATATGTGTACATTTACTCTCTTCTTGTTAATTCTTATTTATTTAAAAGGAGCACAGTTCTTCGGCGAATCTAACTGTGATTCTATCATTTCGAAAACACTAGCGTATTTCCTATTAGTGTAAATATTTTTGTAGGAAAAAAGGGGACACAATATGATGACCTTAGAGACAATTTTTTCAATCGCGTCAATTAAGATAAATAATATATATATATATTATTATATATATATATATTTTTTTCTTTTTTCAATTATATTTAAATTGTTGGTATTATTAGTATTTTATTAGAATTATGTGATCTACGTTTTATAGTACATAGATGTGTATTAAATACACATATGATTCATGTTACTTAAAATAACGAAAAGAAAAAATATATACACACATTAAAATGGTGCTTTAGATTCGTTATAAATATATATATATATATAAATATATTATATATAAATTTATACAGCTATGCTGTATTCTTATATCTGAAAGTATTTCGTAATTAGATTAGAATACTCTATGTATATGTAAGAAAATTCTCTATATTTACATAAATTGTAAAAAATGTTTTATTTATTTCATAAATATTTTTATGTAGAATAGAATTTGAATTTACATATACATTTGATATTTATAATATAAATTATTAAGTTTATAAATTATAAAAAAAAGAAAGAAAAAAGGCTCTATATTTCTTCTACTACTACTACTATTATTACTATTAGAAGTAGAAGATGATGTTATTTCGGATGATTGTTAAATTAACATCCGTAATACCATAGGCTCTAATTTTTGTTAATTTATGTGTTTATTTATATTAGAAAAATTGTAAATTCTGTATTGTTATTTCCATGATTTATAAGTAATAAGATTACTTATATTTTACATCACATTATATGTGAATTTTTTATCAAACATTTACAATCAATAATGATTTACAATTGCAAATGTCGATAGGTAATAATTATAAGAAAAAAAGAATTGAAAGAATTACGATATTGTCGTAATTTCGTCGAAACAAAAAAAAAATGTACGTACTACTTCTGAATATTATATTACAATACTATAAATTAAACTGAGGGCTTCTCAAGATGTAGACCCCCTTCTGTATTTGCGTAACTAATTTTAAAGTTCGTAGAAATTTAAGCAAAAGTAAAAAATTCCTGAACGTGTATCGACCAAAAATTAATTCAAAACCGGTTTGCCAACGTTACACGTATAGTATATCTGTAAATTTATGATAGAGAAAGAGAAGATGGTATGCAGTTTATACTGAGTCGCGAAAATATATGCTTCGATAAAGGGAAGTTGCCAAGTAGAAAATTTTGAGAAGTCTTGCATTATATTTATATTGGAAATATGGAAATTAATAAAGAAATATTAGAGATAGCACTGAATTTAACTGGAAGTAACTGTGCACGAGACTAATGTAATATATTTTACTGATATTTATTCTTAAACTTACCGTAACGTTAGGAAAACTGACGTTAACATATTTCGCAAGAGTTTGTAACGCGAATTCATAAAGATATTATATTATTTACACACTATTGAATGATGTAGGAAATTAAAAAGAAAAAAAAAAAAGAAGAAAAATGAAAGAAAAAATATCAAATACAAATGAAGTTTTATCTACATAAAGACAATCTTTAATTTCATGATATGCTGCCTTGATGTCCACCATAGATCTCATAAGTATCTAATAAAATTCAAATCAATTGAATACCTTTTTTATTCCTAGTATTTTTTTCCCCACTTAAAATTTACTATAATAATATTTTATTTTTAAACAAATAGAAAACCAGTAGTAAATGAAGTAAAGAAAAATATCAATGTATATTAATAGTTCGTAATAGGATTATAATAAACGTAAAGTCTCATATTATATTTTATTCGAAGGTCGTCAACTTAACGATCATTTATTTTTCAAAATTAAAATCAACTAAGAAATAAGATAAAGTCTCGTTCTTAAACAAAGTAAATACAAAAATATAATTAAAATTAATAATAAGATAAAATGTAGTTCATATACTTAAACATTATAACAAAAATTTTAAAAATAAACTAAAGAATAGCAAAAAATAAGTAAAAACACGAACGACCTTCGTAATTGGAATGGTTTTCAAGTTTTTTCTCTGTTGAGTAAATGAAACATTTGTTGTTGAGATATCACCGTTGCTGTTGAAATGCAGGTTCAATTTTTGTTGGTCTTGGAGAGAATTATTTCAAGGATTTCTCTTAATTAAATTTAGATTATTACCTAATCATATTTTCAATCTAATTGAAACAAAAAATCTATGACATACTTCTGTAAAGATCTTAATTAACAAAAAGTAACGAATGAGTACATATATATATATAAATATAATATTATTGAATATAAATCACTGATGAAAGCATAATGGCCGTCTTTTTTATATTTTTTTTTTTAAATTATATTGTTTAATCTAACGAAAATATAATATTTGCATTTATTATACAAATTGGAAAAACGACATTTGAACGAATTAATAAATTAATTATTATCATTGAAATTAATTGCGCAAAAGAATAATAAATGTGTTTGTTTAATTAGAAGCTCTCGCGTAATAAGAGGAACGTAATTAGAAAAGTTATCCTAAACAGTAAAAAATACAATTATTTTTAGAAGAAATACAATGTTCAATTTATTCTATGTTTTCTAATAGCAGTAATTTTCTCTGACAATATCCAATGAAGGAGTCGAATAATAATAATGATAATGATAATAATAATAATAATAATGATAATAATAATGATAACAATAATAATAATAATAATAATGATGATAATAATAATAATAATATAACTGTGAATTGAATTCTTTTTTGCGCGTACTATTGATATTGTCTTTTCGATGTGTTTACAAATTAATGTCTGTTCAACTGTAAACTTTATTTCGTTAGATTTCAAGAAAAAAATTACACGATTTTAACATCACATTTCGAATGATTAATATTAAAATGATATTAATTAGCGATCATTACTATTAGTTAAAAGTTAGTTATAATTATTAATACTAATAGTGTACAACCATACATTACATGGGGCAGAACAGCATTTTTTTTATTATGAAATCTTGTAGTTAGGCTCATCGTTTCCATCAATAATTCCCATTCGATTTTGGAACATTCGCTCCCTTATTTGCAAATTCACGCACTCATTCGCACACATTTCTTACTTGCTTACATGCATCTTTCTTTCTCTCTGTCTCTCGCTCTCTCTTTCTCATTCTCTCCCTCTCTCTCCCTCTCTGACAGCATTTCTCTTTTAAACACTACATTTTCTCAACAGCGATATCCATGGTATTTCCATATAAACTATCGAACCGGTTACAACGTATCGCCAATTAGTTGAAGTGCAATATATTACATTTTACACCCTATGTATTTTCTTATGAGAAATTGAACTTCTTACTACTTAAATATGAATCTTACATTAATCTTACCCATATATAACTTAATTAAATTTCCTATATTACGTTTTTATTTATCTTTTTTGTTGTTGTTTGTTTGTTTGTTTGAAAATTATTGTAAAGCTCAGCATCTTCTTCAAGATCCTTTATCTCAAACGAAATCAACTTCAAGAGTGGATATATAATTGAAAATAATTCTCAATAATTACATCGTGATAATTATACGTATATACATACGTGTGTACCTTTTATAATATTATGTATACGTTGATTTATATACGTCTCCATCATCATCAGTAGATCTTGAACGAAGATAAAGCATGACTGCTTAGGATATCTCCGATTTTGAATAATAAGCCAATAATTATAAGGGCTGTGTTCTATAATATATCATAGATAGGCAGGGCAAAACATTTACGATGAAGTTTTATAATATGTAAAAACAGTATTCAAATTACACTTTATGCAAATCCAAATCCTTCGCTACATTCGTGAATCGCCTTGAGTAAATTCGTGCGTAATTTGTCGTATGTCTCATATACAGGCAAATCCAATTGATTGAAACTATAATTAAAATATCATTTATTGATAAATAATTAAATAAACGACTTTTTTTTTTTTTTTAAATTACATGATTGCATATTCGAATACTAACCATGTATGAGCAGATGGTAATCTATCCGTTGATCTGTCCTCCCGATGAATTTGGAACTTTTGTACACCATTCATTCCTTCTAATGCAGCAAAACCTTGTAAAGGTACTTTAGAAGTTCCAGTAACAAACTGTAAAAATTTAGCTCTATCGGCTTGATCGAATCCTCGTAACGCACGCCAAAACCATTGGATCTATTAAACGCAAAATATTAAATTAAAACACATTCATGAGCTGTAATAAATATACAAACTAATCAAACATAAACATGAATATTAATTATATACCTGCAGGGACGTGGCACTGTATTTATGGTATTCAGTGTTTGCTTTTAAATCTTCGATATCTACATTAGGCAATCCACTGATTAATAATTCCAGTTCCTGTTCATTAAATATGGAAATCAGTCTCTTCGGTATAATATCATAAAAGCCTTCCAGGAACGCAGTTAATCTATAAAAATAAAAGAAAATAAAATAAAATATAATATAATATAATATAATAGTAAGCAAATTATAACATTCAGCTGTGCCTAAGTAATTAACAAAAATAATTGTATTTATAATAATACTCACTGTTTACGAATTGCTCTAGTCATTTTCATCTGACATACTAGCCTAATATATTCAAGTTTTGTTTCCTCTGTAACTACTATGTTACGACCATTTGGTATTAAATCTCGAACATCGTTAACACCAAATTCATTTACCTGAGAACATTTTTCAAGTTTAATATACATTTTTAAAATAATATATATTTATATAAATTGATATAACTTAAATGATAAATATGAATTTATTTACTTCTGTTGAAAATGTTAATTCATAACCAAGATCAGCAATAGTGTGTTCGGTAAGATAAACAAGTCCTTTGTAAAAACTATAATCTTCGCTTTCCATATCTGTATGTTTTACAAGAATTCCAAGTATATGTTTGTAAAAACTACGTGTAAAGTAACATTCCAATAATTTATTATCGTAAATAGCTTTAGCTGTAAAAAGAAAAGAAAAAGACTTCGTTACTTTCCTGCAATTATAAATATAATATATAGACGAATGATAAAACAGTCATAACTTACCGATAACCCGTCCAACAAATTTATAATAACACAAATGATTTGGATTACAATGAGAAGATGAATTGATCATATATGTAACCCGATCTCCAGGGCTAACAGTGAAGAGAGCATACATGGGATTGAAAATTTCTCTTGAAATAATGACGTACCATTCTCTCAATAAACCACCTGCATCTTGTCCTTCCTCGCCTTTAACAAATTAATATGTAAGTTACACCTTTATGATTTCAATACATTCTTTAATCCCTTGATATATAATAATAAAAATATTAATTTACCTTCAAAAACGATGTAAAAACGATTCTTCCATTCATCTGCATTTCTTCTGTGGAGCTCTCTAAACGAGTCTTCGAATACATGACTTCTACGTACATGGACTGCAAGTTCTTCTCTACGAATACCTTCATCCATTCGTTCTAATTCTGTTCTGAAATATCTACGTTTGACATCAAAATCTAATACTCTTGTATGATCAACTAATACAGAAAATGGACCATCGGCTAAATGCGTAGTTGTTTGTCGTAGAATTTGATTGAGTACTGTTCTGTGCGTTTCTAAAATAATATAATATAACATTTTAATATAATAGAAAATAGAAAATAAAAAAACCAAAATTTGTCATAAAAATCATACCAGCAAATTTCAAGAATTTAAGTTGATCCGGGGGTAGAGTCTTTTGTGTTGTAATAGTTGTATCCCAAGTAGTAGGACCAGTCTCCGCTTGAGAAGTAGTACCTTCATTATCAGAATATATAGGTGAAACTGGTGCTAAGTCTGGTACGACCTCGCGATTTTCTGTAGTAGTATTGCGATGTCGGTCACGTGACGATGTAGTAGATGATGAGTGGACTAAGAAAAATGCTTCTACAGCAGGCTGTACATAAAATATGAAAGAATCATATCTTTTTAAATGTTCTAACTTAACTAAATTTGATTTTTTAATTCGATATCTGGAATATTACCTGTAAAACAAGGACGGCATGATGGTCTGGAGTATATTCCAATTCTAATAAACAAGCACTAAGCGTTTCCCATAGATGATCCAACACCAAACTTTCACTTAAATGTGGTAGTGGTGACTTTTCATCATCTGTAATAGAAATTAAATATATATATATACATTAGGGTGGGTCAAAAAAATGACTTTTTTTTTTTTCAAGTGCCACGCAAAAATGGGTTCCTACCTAGACACCTTAAAAGAATTCTCACCCAATATGAGCTCTTAATTTTAATAGGAAGATCCTCCGCATCGCAGTTTTTTATTTTTTTTTTTCAGTCCAATAGATTAAAATTCATACCTCATTATTTATTGATTGTACAGAAAAATGTTCTAGACGAATTTTGTAGGAAATTTAATGCTCTACAAAAAAGGTATCTTATACTTTTTCCGTAAACCTCACCATTTGAATGATATTGAAGATTTAAATTTGATGATTTTTAGACAAATCTCATTTTTGCTTATGAATTTTATAACTCGACAATAAATGACTATTAAAAAGTGCACAATACAAATTTTTGTAGGAAATTAACTGCTCTATAAAAATGGTGTCTTATGTTTTGGTGATTAAATTAAGCGTTCAAAAGATATTCATCATCAAACTTTCATGTGTACAGATTTTAGTCCTTTGATTTCCAATTACATTAATCCACAAATTAATCCTTTAATTTCCTCGGCTACATGTGAAAAAATGACATAAAATTAATAATGAGGTATGAATTTTAATCTATTGGACTGAAAAAAAAAAATAAAAAACTGCGATGCGGAAGATCTTCCTATTAAAATTAAGAGCTCATATTGGGTGAGAATTCTTTTAAGGTGTCTAGGAACCCATTTTTGCGTGGCACTTGAAACAAAACAAAAATAAGTCATTTTTTTGACCCACCCTAATATACATACATTTCCATTCGTCAATACTTGCGTATGTATTACAATTTTATTGAACTTACCAGTACGTGGAGGAACTGTCTTGTTATGCTCCGAATTAACAGCATTACTACTTTGCACCGTGTCCATAGGAACATCTGCACAAGAATTATCATCTGCTGAAACATGGCATGATAAAGTATGATCTAATACTAAACAATAATAGAGTAATAATAATGAAATCTAAGTAATATAACTACAAGTTGATATAATATATCACCTGTTCCTTGATTTTGACTGGAAGTTGTCGCATCCGTTGTAGGAGCACTAGTAGATGATGTTGATGATGTTGCTGCTGTAGCAGCTGCTGCTTGATTTGCTTAATATAGGAAATAAAAGAAGAAAAATATACTTTAAAAAATATACTTTTAACAAGATACAAATTTTTAAAAATTATAAATTGCTATAATTTAATATAATTATATATTAAATTTATACCTGCTTTCTTTGTACTTGCTAGACGCACAGATTCCCTTATCTGTACAATTACTTTAAGTATTCTTAAAAAGAATGCCTGACTAGAGGTCTTACTGACAAGAGCAGCCATCGATGGTAATTGGAGATCGCTTCCAGCTTTAACTTTACTTGGCGCCGTTACAATCACATTTTCATTGGTAAATCTTAAAATAAATAAAATAAATATTACAAATTTTAATCTTCGAGATATATAGGAAATGAAAATTAATAATTTAATTAATTGTGAAAAAAAGTTATTTACCTGTCTAAAAGAATTCCACGTCCACCTCCACCAGAACTAGTCGATGGTTGTTCTTCGATAGAATTTCTTCTGCTCAGTTCGCGATTTAAAACTTTAAGTTCTGTCATTAAATCATTAATGTGTTCACAGACCATATTTGCCAATTCCATTGCTCCTTCTAAGAGTAAATTGAGAATCTATTCGAAAATAATGGAAAATAAAAAGGTAAATTAGGAGAACATAATTTCTCATAAATAATCATGTATAATATATAATAATTTAATAATACTATACCAATTGTCTAGTTGGGTCTGGACAGTGCGATAAATTAAGCAATAATGCTGTAGCATCTTCCAGGCCTTCTTCGGAACAACTTTTACTAGTTAATACTTGTACAGCCAATCTCAAATGTCCTTCTGGTGCAGCGACACTCTGTTCTTTACTCAATTCAGTTTTTTTATTTTTATTACCTTCTTGTCGACGATATAGATTAACTTCTGTCAATCCAATGGAGATCAAAGAAAGAAGTCGCAATAGTTTGTCAGTTAATTGACTGCTTCGTTTAATAACCGACCAATTTAGCATTGAAATTAATTGACCAAATGGAGATGCTTCAAACGTTGTCATTGTATGTTCCAAGTCCATACCCAAGTTAGAAGTTGAGTGAGTTCTTGCAACAGATTTTCCTTTCTTAGAAGCACAAGAGTCTAGTTTTAACAGCATATCCCAAAAATCAGGAATATCGCTTTTTCCTACTTTTGATGCAGACTTAGATTTCGAAATACTTTCATCTTTAATATTAGCAAGATCTTTTTCTTTATCTTCAGATTCCTTTGATTTGATTGGCACAAAATATCCTGGGAAACTTTTTGCTAAAGAGATTAAAAGTTCTAAGGTATGTCTAGAAAATAAAATAATAAAATTAAAAAGAAATATATTTTATTAAAATAAATATAAAAGGTATATAATGTTTGATATACTGACCTACAAACTGTTGGTGCAGCTTGTGGATGAATAGCTATTATACTACCTTGCCTTTCAGACTTTTTACCACCATGTCTAATAATATGAAATACATTTGCCCTACAACCCAATGCAGCATCCATACTAATATTTAACCAGGACTGTGTGTTATTTCTTTGTTCAAATACTTTAGGATACCTGAAAACAATAACATTCTCACTCTGTTTCATATACTTTTATGGAATACATGTGCCTGATATGAAAAGAAAAAAATTCATTTCTTTACCAATAGTCTGAAGTAGTGGTAGGAAGCAAACTTTTTCTTTTGAATTTTCCACTAAAATCTGTAAGTATATCTCTAGATTCGTCATTACTTCTCTCCATGATACTAAGTAAGGCTTTAACTACCCATTCTCTTGTACTGCCATGATAACAAAGATTTCTTATCACTCTGTGAAGTCTGAGTGTATTAATTTTAGGTTCATCGACAAATAGCAAGACCAACAAACATGCCATCGATTCGTGATCAAGTAATTGCCTTCCTCTTAAACGTAATCCTGCTCCTTGATGTGCAATAGCAGTATCTCCTCGAGGATTCCATGATCCCCATTGAGCTCTCTGTGGTACTGCATGAATGGCATATCGTGCACCACCTCCTCTACCTATTCAAAATATATTATATTAATTAAATAAAATTTTATTTCTTTAAATCTTTAATAGATTCATTTGAATAATATAATAACGTATGATAATTACCTCCACTGGAACTTCTCAATATGCTCGATAAAGTATTCCCTTGACTGACATGACTAAGAAATCTCTCCTGCATCATATGTCGATTACGAGCTTCCCATTCTCTACGCAAATTTTGTGCCTCTTGAGCTAAATCTGGAGGTAGAACAGATATTTGCGATTCTTCCATATCCGTAAGGATCTATAAGAGAATAAACAAAATAAAAAACAATGATATAGCGATCATTTTCTAATTTAAAAAAAAATTAATCAAATGGTAATAAATTTACTAACTGCTTGTCGTAAGGAAGGTTGTAAATTTTGAAAGAATGCTGCAGCATCGACAGGATCTTCCGGATTTGCTGATGCAGCTGCATGTCTTTGTTGTTCCAACCTTTGTTGAGCAAGAACTTCTTCTTGAATGGCTGGTGGTAGGGCAGCTAAAAATTCAGGATTTACTTCAACTGGTCCTGCGAGTTCTTCAGCTGCTGAAGCTTGAGCGCGTTGTCTTATGCGCTGTAATCTGCATAATAAAGTAAATTATATACGATACTACTATTTATATTTAATTAATGATATTCGTGTAATTAATAAATCAATGATTTTAACCTACCTCAATTGTTCTGCTATTACTTCATCACGCATATCTTCTGGTAAGGCAGCTAAGAAGGATGGATCCACACCATCTGGCAACTGCTGTTCTTGCGATGGTTGTTGTGATTGTTGTTGTTGACTTGATGTTTCTGGATGTGTGCTTTCTGATGTAGAAGACGTTGGATCTTGGCTGACGATATTTGCACTAGATAATAAATCAAGAACGTTTTTAAAAAGAAAATACATATATATATGATCAAAGATAATATACAAAATAAATATAATATAATATCAATCTTCAATTCTACTTACTTTCGCTCTACAGCGGATGGGGTATCATCTGTTAACAGACGTCTGATCCAATCAGCCGAATCACTGCTCTCTCTTGAAAGATCTTCATTACCTTCTTGATTAAAATTTATTAATACCGGAGTAGGTGTACACTCTGGCATTTCATTAGATGCTTCGGTAGGATTTTCCGATTGTCCTATTCGATAAAATAATATATTAATAAAATTGTCAATCAAGATTAACTATAAATATTTCATATTACAAACTAACAATGAACATAATATATTTACTTAGTCTCGAAACTTCAGAAGCACAAGGAGCAAGAACAGAATCAACGATACTTTCAGCAAGCTCTAATGTAGGATTCCAATTAGTAGTATTACGTGGGTCTCTAGTTTCTGTAGTTTGTTCTTCTGGTGGTGGAGGAGGTCGTGGTCTTTCTTCATCATCCTGGACCGTAACTTCCATTTCTCCAGTTACATCTAAATATGTATAATATTAAACATTTTACATTAAAATTAAACATTTAAAAAAAAACATTAAACATTTATTAAATGATACAAATGCTCAATGTTAACTATAAATATACAGTAATATTATTTTACATATAATACGCGATATGTGCTTTCATACTTACCAATAATATCTTCATCAGGTATGCATTCCTGTCTTCTAGTTTCGACAGTAGCTTCTGTAGCTGTAACGAGTATTGTGTCATCCCTTTGAGACGTTGATGCCAAGCTTCTTTGTTCTTCTGTTGGAATTGTTGTTGACGGGCCAGCTGAAGATACGAAATCATTATCTATTTATGTATTTTAAGAGAAAACGTTATTCATTCTATTTTACTTACATTCGGTGTTCTTTGCACTTTCCTTTTCTTCCTTGCCATCTCTCTCATTTTCCTTTTCTGAACCATGCTGCTTCTTACGTTTTTCTTTTCTTTCAGCTAATTCAGCATTTCTATGTTTCTCAAGACTAGGTATCATTTTATGTACAACACCTTTTTCCATGGAAAAAAAAATATTATGAAACACGTATTACAAATTTATATATGAATTTTCATATTTTAATAGATTCTCACCAACACAACAATCCGGCTGAGAATCTCCATCTAATAATTTACTTTCTTCAATCCACCAGTGTAATGCAGTAGGAATGTTATTTAGGGTCGCAGCTAAACTTGGCCCAAATAAGTAACCTGATTGATCCTATAATTAATTTGTTGTGTCATTAATAAGATAATCAATCATATTTATATTATATTTATCAAATATATGTTTGATCTTACTACAAAGTCAATTTGTTCTTCTTCTTGATTTGTAAATATACCAAGGCCATTGTCCATTACAACAACACGCGTGTCTCTAAAGCTAGAAGCTAAAACTTGACTAGCTGATAAAGGAAGAGTCTGTGAAGTTGGACCTAAAAGTCTGTTAAAATAAAAATAATTAAACAACACTCTAAATGCTCGTTGAAGGGTTACTGAAGTATTAAAGTACCTTTGTAATATTACAGGAGGATTAGGATTACGAGAATTAGATAGTTGCAAATATTGATATCGACGATGTCGAAGTACTCGTTGAGCTCTAGGATTTCCACTATCAAAACTACCTTGAGTTATTAATATTGGATGAGAACTTATTCCTAAAATCAGAATAAATATATTTTTTGTAATGAAACACATACACGTAGGATAAACACTAAATTAACATTAAAAACAACATTAAGCGGATTAAATTCAGATAGAATTTCAACTCGCCATTGCCTTCAGAAAACGAAGGTGGTTCTTCAAATAAACCAAGTGGTAGAGGAAAACTCGTATTCCATGATAGACCAGGTCGAGTTGAAATAGGTGTAGATGATAGAGCATTTACATTATCTTGATTATCAAGATTATGTTGTATCATAACAACATTGCCACCATCACGTTCTGCAGAGGGAAACATACGAAAGACACCACTACCTTCACCAACATCTTCATACAATTCTATTCCATCTTCCTCATAATTTGACGAACCTTCTTCTTCCTCTTCTTCTTCTTCCTCATTTTCCTCGCCTAGAAAAATAAATAAAATGTCATTTAGATTTATATTAAATTTATTATCGATCAAATTATTGTATTATATCGAAACTATAGATATTTCCTTACGTATCAAACAATAATTAATGTATTTCTTACCTTCATCTTCCTCTTCTTCCTCTTCGTCTTCGTCGTCTTGGACTTCGTCTTCATTGTCATCCGACTGATTACTATCAGAATCTGAATCAGAGCTCATAAGATCTTCCTATAAAGATAATATTAAATTATTAAAAAATAGTAGAAAAAATAAAATAATAAAGATAAAGAAAAAAAAGCGATGTTACTCTTACGGTGGTGTCACGTGTTGGATCAAAATCTCCTTCCGCATCACGCATCGCTAAACTTTCATCATCAATATCCATTGGTCTATGCGATCGGGATGATTGTTCTTCTGCTACAGTAGAACCATCTCTGGAAAACAGCACACTGCTTGATTATAAGCATTGAACAACAATTGATTTATTATCTGGGTTTCTTAGTCATTCATATAACAAATATATAAAATATATTTTTCAGTTGAATACTACTCATATATTTGAATAAAATCATATATTATTACCTTTCAAGAAGTTGATCCATGATATCTTCCAAGGCAGCTTCATCTCCCTCTTCGTGCACGTGACTTTCGGACGTCGGTTCTAAACTTTCTGCTGTTACTGAAATATCATGCTCGGTGTTTTCCGCATCTTCGATGGTTTCCTCGCCAACAGCATGAGTAGTTTCTGAAGTTGTTGTACCGGTTTGTTCTCCGATCGGTTCTTCATGAACAGTTCTATTTTTTGGCTTGGTAAATTTATTAATACCTCCTGGCATTGGTTGATTAATTATACGAGATAACGTTTCAAGAGGTTTCAAAGCCGCATTAATAGTACCAGCCATATGTGGGCTCGAAAGATCAAGACTATGTGGAATTTTAGCTAAGTCGGTAATGATACCTTTCTTAAGCATAATTCTTACAATATAATTAACATTATTATATTGATGAATTTTTAACGATGCTCTTAGCTGTGGCGTTAGCGGACAACTATCAATCATGGTAGAAATCAAACCAATTAATAATTGCAATTGTGCATGTTTTTCCGCACTCTCTGGAAGTGCTAAGGTTCGTGTCAATGCCGCTTTTACTTCGGTTACTAATGTCGTCTGTACATCCGGTGAATGGTTACATGATGCTATTGCCGCTATTAGCGTACGTGCCATATTATTACATTGACGATCACTGGAATTTTCTGGCAACACTGGCAATAGTTTATCAAGCAGAAATGCAAGAGCTGTAGTATCTTCAGTAACTAATTCACTCTGACCTGCTCTATATACATGATCAGTAATAAGACTAACTATTGAACCATAAGATCTAACAGCATCAGCTAATGTCTTTAATATCGCAGACTTGGCTAATAATGGCTTTTTCGCTTCTTCTGATTCAACTTTACCATTATTGCTCACATCCGCATACATTTTAAGAGGTATTATTTGTGATACTTGATCGTCATCATCAAGCGGATCGTTCGTAGAGATTGCATTATTTCTGAGTACATCACGTCTTGAAGATGAGGAAGATGCATTGCCAGTTGCTGTGGTTGAATGTGTTGTCTTTTTTTCAGGACTTCCAGTTGGCGTTGCAGATCCATCATCGGGTAATATAGGAACCGGTTTGATTAATGCATTCAAAAGATCGCGAACAACACCAATAGAAACTTCTTCTATCATTGGTAATGCTGGAGAATGAGTAGGAGGCAAGGCTTTGACGACTAGTCTGCTATCAATGTCATCCCTTTTTAATACGTTAATATCAACCCTAAGAATATTTTCACAAACTTCTCTGTAAACTTCTGGATTCCGACATACCGCACTGCTGATTTGACGAGTCATAAACAAAATTTCTTTGTACGCAGGAGGAATATTACTTTGTGTTCGTGTGCGTATGACCTTTTCCATAGCAAGACGTAAAATACGAGGTTCTTCTAATGTATGTCTTATAAGAAGTGTACTAAGATTAATACATCCGATGAAGGTACTAGACTGAGTCATTTCAAGAAGCAATTTGACACCACCTTCTCGTGCAAATACTTCTGCATTCTTATAATCTCTCGTTAAACGCAAACATACTTTCATCAAGGCGTGAAGCGTATCGCGATCAACTGGGATAGCTAATAACTTTACACACGCACGTACGATACTTGGTATTATGCTAGGATCTAAACCTTGTACAACAGTATTACGTTTTTCTTCGACTGGACTATCATCAGTATCCATATTAGAATCAGAACCAGAACCGCCATCTTCATTTGTACCACTGTTGAAGTTAAAACCCATAGTAATTGGTCTTCTATTGTCACTTTCTTCATTTACTTGAGTCATGCATGAAAATGTTATTAAGTAACGACGTCTGCTACATGTTATACGCACATTGGGCTCACCAGCCCAATATGCCTCATTAATAATTCTATTATTCATTGGCGAATAAAGAGTCCATTTTCCAGTACTTAAGTCGAACCATTTCCACATGCAATTTGTAACCTAGTGAAATAATTGATTAGAAATATTTCCATATAATAAATAGATTTTTTTTATTGTATTTTATCGTATCATCTAACTACCTTATGCATTAGTTGTTTTCTTTTTGTGAGAGTTCCAACTTTTTCTAAACGATCTATTAGCAATAATAAAGGTGCAAGCCATTTAGGAGTTTTTACGGTAATTGCTCCATCTTTATTTTCCTTTACGACCTTGTTCTTATGCGCTGTAAGTGGCACTTCACTCATTACAAGTAGATTGACAAGTTTGTCTAACATGACACATTCCTCAACAATTCGAGCACAAGGAACCCGCATTTCTTGGAAAGTACCCTATAATAATTTAAATAATAAAAAAAATAAACAAAGAATGGAGACGAAAGTAAACAAGAGAAAAGTCGATAAATCTCTCTCTCTCTCTCTCTCTCTCTCTCTCAATATATTTATATACCAACCTCGAAAAATAATGTATAGAGATAAATACGTCTTGATACTTTATTTGCTTCGTCACACTCTACTAATAGTGTTCCAGCATTTTCATCCTGACTTTTAATAATGTCGATTAAATAATCGACTAAATCACCAATCTATCAAATTAATTATATTCATTAGAAATTTATTTAAATAAATATTCCTTACCATTAAATAGATATATACATTACCTCTCGTATTAATTGACGTAGCATGTTATCTCGCCACTCATCTCCATTTCGCTTAGTGATGGTTACCAATAAATCACAAATTCTATATACTGTATCAGGCATAAGATCCAAAAGATTAAGACATTGCGCTAAAGCATTACGAGTGAATTCATCTATGCTCTCTGTTAATGTTGTCTCTCTGTTGTCAGATTCTTCAGGTCCTGGTGTTTTTAAAGTATCGGTGTCGGCGAATGCCATAGCAAGAACTTGTGATATATCTTCGTCTTCAGTTAATTCTAACTCCATAGTAACGACACGGTTTGGATCACTCGATGGAGCATCCTAATTACAAGCATACACAATTATCATATATAATTGTGCCCATAATTATGAAAGTGATCTAAGTCATTTATCTCTTGTTTCGAGATATTTAAAGATTTCTATTTGAACATTATATGAATTCTATGTAATATTGAAAAAACAAACATTATCTAACGATTCATTTTTGACAATATCGTGAAAATTATATTGAATTTATTTAGTTTAAAATAATGTGGTGCGTAATAACTAATAAACTCATTTTTTTTTTTAATTTTGACTTAGACCACTTTTATAATTATAGACACAATTGTTCCTTTTTAATTCTATATACATAATTAATACATAACAAATAAGTTATGCTAAATCTTACAGGTCTTCGCAAAGTAGCAGGATTTGCAAGTAAATATTCTGTCGCTTGTTCAACAGTCATTGTATGTAATAAAGCTTCAATGCAATGCGCTCTACTAAAACCCATATCCATCAATTGCCTCAAATGTTCCAAGTTAACATCGGCTTCTGGTTCATCTCGTCTATCTGATATTGCTCCACTCCTACTAACAGAACTGGTGCTACCACTACCACTAGCTGATACACTTTCGTTATTTTTTTCTCTTTCAGATCGTTCCTGAAGATTTTATTAAATTATTGAGATCATTCGTTTTATTATTTAAATATAACACAATCATCGATATTATCTTTTTCAATATTTTACAATATTTACCTTAATTATTTTTTCACCACGTAATATATGCCGCAAAATCGATAATATAGATTCGGTCATACGAGCTCCATAATTTTTTAATGGCTTTTTACCCCACATAAGCATCACAGCTTTAAATGCTTTCTGTAATAAACCAAACGTTTCACGATAAAAACTTAAGGAAAACCGAATACACGTGTAAGTAGTTAGTAACTTAAGTAATATTACCTTATGAATATCGGTGAGATATTTTATTGGATCAAACACTTCATACCTATCATACATTCCTGTACATTTAGAAGATACTACATGAGGTGAATCTAAGATTGCTTTAGGATTCACCATTTTCTCAAGAAGCATAAGCCAAGCATCTAAAAACTCTCCAGTCCCATCAGGTAAATTAGGATGCTCTAATCCTTCAGTTAATGGAAATTGTGTACCTCCTGACAATGCCCATTGGAAAGTACTGAAATTATAAAATGAAAATTATATTATTAAATATTTTTATTATATTTATATTTATAAATTCATTTCATTTATTTAAAAATCTACAAGTCCCTATAGCATACTGATTAAACTTACAAGAAGAACGCATTTTGTCCACCCAAATGGACAAACTTTTGAAGCATCAAATGATATGGATGCCTCTTTTCGTCGAATAACATCGGAGATGTAAATCCCACAGAACATATTAAGAAGGTCAATTGGAATTTAGGTATTGGCGATGGAGGTAATATTTCCCAAGACAGACCACGTGTTAACAAACAATTCAAAGCAGTCGCTACACTTCTTGCTGCTTGGGAAGGAAGAGCAGGAGTCAAAGGCATTTGTTGTCCTCTTCTTTGCCTTATAGGTGAACCCATGCAAAGCTTTAAGAAAAAGTTGATATTGTAATATATATTAATATAATTATAATATATATTAAATTTATAAAAGATTAATTAAACAATACCTTAACAAGTAGACCAAATAATTCTGCGAGTGCTCTGCCTAATCTCGATGATGCACCTAATAATGGCTTAATGAATTTCAGTTGATGAGTATTAGGTGAAGTTCTTCCAGCACTTGTACTTGGCTTATCATCGATCTATAAATTTTGCCAATATTTTAATGTTATAATATCCACGTTTTTTTTTGCTATGCTCTATATTCATCAATTTATAATTACCTCCATGGGTATAGGTGGAGGATCAGTGCTGAGTGCTTCCATTGCAGTTGTCATTCCATTACTGCCTATATCAGTGGAAGATCCAGCACCAGACCATGTAGAACTTTCACCCTCCGTCTAAAATAATAACATTAGTGTCACAAGTTTGTTAATATACCAAAGTAAAATAATCCAAAGTATACTCTTAATTTACTCTTAATTCAGGTGGTATTAATTTGTCCATATCTTCTTTTCCAAAGTCGCAACCAGCCGGTATAATATCTTCGCTGCATAATGCAAGTAATAAAGTACTTTCCCAAACTAGAGACATATACAACTTAGATAAGCCTTTTAAAACTGTTAAACCCAGGTCAGATCCCCAATGATTCATAGATAAATTTCGAATCTCGCTTTGACTTGTTCGACAAACATGAACAAACATTACAATATATCCATGAGCAGCGTTCATAGCGTGTAACAATGGAGTAGCTGTATCACTTGTGAAAGCAGTTTCAAGATTTGGAGCTGAAGCCAATTCGTGTAATAAAACAGAACCAGCAGGTGATTGCATGTTACTGCAAAGAGGTTTTAATAGATTTAAAACCTCATTTAATTGTGACAATCCAGTTTTAAGAACCAAAGGTTCATGAGCCAAGTTCTATAAATAAAAATGACAAATTATAAATAAAAGATTTGAATTATTGATAATTAATTATTAATTTTTAACATTTTAATGTATTTTTTATTCAACATACCAAAATACTTTTGCATACTGAAGCTACTGCCTGAGCTGCTTGAGCAACAGGATAATCTACGGGTAAATTTGGTAATCCTAGAATAGAAAGAAGTGGTACTAGTCCTTTTTGCGCAACGAATTCTCTGCAATGATCATCCGTTGAGTTGTTACTCAATATAGCATCGACAAACTTCATAACATTTTGAATATAATCGACCAAAGCAATAGGTGTTTTTTCTCTTGGCTGAGGTGGCGGTCCAGGTTGTGCAGGAGATGGAGATGGTTGTTCTTCTCGTTGAGGATGAGAGCTAGTACTAGCTTCTTCTTCATCCTCTTCTTCTTCGTCACTACTACTTCCTCCGCCTCCACCACTACCACCTGCTGAATCTCCAACACCAACGCCAACTGATTGGCCTGAAGATTGGCGATTTCCACATCCAGAATTTGATGGAGAATTATCTGATTTACTAACACCCCGCCAACATATGTATCGTGGATCGCAACCAAGTACACAAAGTTCTTCAAGTAACTATGTACATGAAATGTTTTATATGAATGCATTATCATTTATACAATATATATTTATCTTTATTATAATAATATGATAATAGCAATAATGTACCTTAATAATTGCAGAGATAGCATCAACTTTTAAGCTTGGCTGATGTCTCATTAATTCGTCCATAGCATTACCTAAATTAGAAGCTGTATCACCAAGTGGATCGGCGCTTTTACGCCTCCGCATAGCTGATAAATAAACTGGTGAGAGAAGTACTTTGAATAATCGTTCAAAGGGACGGCGTTTGACAAATGACTCAAGACCACGTTGATTCAAACAAAGTGCACTGAATACATTAGGCAATGATCCTAACACTTCTCTAGTTGCTGGTACCTAAATATAAAAAGATCATTATACACTTGTATTTACAAATTTCGATGAATAACTTCATTACATTAATCACATTAAATAAAAATCATTTATGAATACAAGAAGCACTTACTTCTTTAATAAGAAGAGCATGTAATACAACATCTGTTAAACCATTATCTTGTAATGATGAGAGTAATGATGGTTCTTGGAAAACATATACTGTTACAACATCGGTAGCAAGTAAAAACAATGAAGGACCATAATATTCAGAATTGCTTATAATATGTCTCAAAGATGATGGTAATGTCCCTTCCATAACATGTCGAATACTATCAGAGAAAGCTGCATCTTGAATAGCTTTTTTAAGAAAATTTAACATAGATTTTAAAAGTGCAGCACGTTGTAATAAACAAGTCTTTCCAGTCTTCGCAGCAGAATAATCGGGCAATTGTTCATTTTTCTCATCTGCTTTATTACTCATATTTTCATCTTCTGAAATTTCCATTGGATTTAGAGATTCATCACGTTCCTCAAATGTATCATTTATCCGACGTGAAGAAGTTTCTCCTTCTCTGTCTATAGGTCTTTCTTGTACAGTTTGTGGATTTTCTTCATAAAGTTGTGGTTCTATTTCAAATGGTTGTTCTTTTCTGCATACATTAACTTCCATATCAAGGCGATTAATAAAACTGCCCAAACCACCATGAGCTTGAAATCCTTGCATATCAATATTTGCAATCAAATCTATTACACGAACAGCTCTAGTACCAAACTGTAAATAAAAATGTTAAAAATCTTTACTTAAGTTCTAATACTTAAATTATTGTTATTTTTATATTTTACATACCGTTATATGTTCAAGTTCACTTCCTGGCCAATTGATTATTTTAAGAAGACTTTCCATCATACCACAACTGACAAGAGCTTCTGCTCCTGCTTCATAACTAGCAAGATGAAATAAAAAGCTGAATAAAGCTGTTGCCAGTGGCAATGGAAATGGTTGTCCATCTGCTTGCGATGATGTTAATGTTGTTATGCAAGTGCGAATAAGAACCGGTAAAAAGCCATGATATGAACTGGCTCCAGTCACATCAATAATCATATTTAATCTTGAGCCAGGTTTTCTGTAAAAATAAACAAGAAAATGAAATATGCATAACTTGTAAAAATATACAAATGTGTATTTTTTGTTTTTATGAAAATATTAATGAAATAAATACATACTTTGGAAAATGTGGATTACGATCTAAATGTATAATACTAGTTAGGGTACGTAATGCTGCAGCCCGAATTTCAACAAGATGGGGGTGTGGCAACTCAAGTAATTCCACTAATTCTTCAAGAAGTCCAGCATGTAAAAGACTGTGTGCATTTTCTTGCAATGCATTACTATATACTAATACAGATAATGCTTGAAGACGAGCTTGAACACACTGCAAACGCCTACGATAATCTGAGAAACTATGGGCCAGTCTAACATGTGTCAATAGAGCCATCTGAAAATAATAATAGGATAAATTATTTGAAAATCATAAACTGTGATATCATGTAACTACTGATAATAACAAAATATACCTGACGATCCTGGGGTACATTATAAACTTTCAATAAGTCATTCATTAATTGTGCTGGCGTTTTACCAAGTTTATCTACAGATTCTATATGTATATATGTTGCATAATTTGTTTGACCAATCTTTTTTACACTGTTTGATGTAATTGCACTTTCTGTTACAGCTGGATTTTCAGCATAGAATTCAAAATGTAAAGTTGTAGCACTCGGTGGAAATGGCTAAATAAAATAACAGGAAAGCATTAAAAAATACTGAAAGCAATGTTATTATTTTCATTAAATTCATGAAATTCATGTTATACCTTATCTGGGTATTCCTTACAACAAGCTGCTAATCCAAAACCATTTTCTTTACCACCCCAACTCTATAAATTGAAGAAAATTATATTAAAGTAATTATCACCGTCATTATTATAATTATAAATTATTTCTCTGATATATTAAAACTTGATCATAATAACCTCTGCTAGATGATTGAGTCTACTAAGAAGAGCTTGACGTTTGTCATTATTTAGACGAGTAATAAAATTACTGCGCTTACTGAACATATATAAAAGATTTAATACGCCAAGAACCACATGCATATCACAACTTGACAATAATGTTATTAGATGTTCCATACTGTTATACAGATGCCGTGAAAATGAATGTTCAATTAGCAAAGTAGTAAAATGGAGAACCCATAGAAGTAATTCTTTTGCCTGCAAAAAATTACGTGTTAATTATTTATTTTTGTAATCATAACAAAAGAAAATACATTATTTATTTCTATTATCGATTGTACCTCTGCATTTTGAGGCAAGTCACATGCCAATTCCCATGGATTATCTGAGCTTCTTGCCGTAGCTTCCTCTAAAATACTATCGCTAAGATCCAAGACATCGATCCAATGAAATAGTTCACACTTTCCAAAAGTCCATGCATCAATTTGTTTAAGCTCCTCTAACAGTTCCGCATGAGAGCAAGAACGTAATTTGCTTATGAGAGCTTGACACTCGGCTGGCTATAAATTAATAAATTAATAAATTAATATACATTTCATTTCACATGTTTAAACTATTCTTTTTTAAATTTCTTTTCACTTAAAAAGAAATTATCTTATAAATAAGTATTATTACATCATCTATTTATATAATTGATTCTTTATCCAATAAATACGAATGTGCTGCACACACATGTGCACATACATATACACACAGACAATATTTTATGGCAGCTAAAAAAATTGTCTCTTTTTTATAAAAATAAATTTTTATCGTTTTCATCATATTACGAAATAATTTACATGATATTATAAAAGACTATTTAGAATCAAGTCTCTTCTATTCCTTACAGAAGTTAACACTAAAGTTAATATAGATGATTCTAAATAAATATAATTTACTTACAACTTCCGAAGTGCACTTTTTCAATCTGCTTCTGTCGATCTTCATTTTAGTATATCTTTGTAAAATCTAATATCTGAAATAAAGAAAAGTAGATTTGTACATCTTAATATTAAAAATATAAGAATCAAATAAGGTTCTTCTTTCCCATGTTTAATTAATAATTTAATTTCCCACGTTAATAAAAATTAATTCAATCACTTAAAATTACTTTTCTAACAAAATGCAAATATGCATAAAATATCATTTCTAATTACAAACTTTCACCTATATCTATAATAATAATTTTAAAAAACGCTAAATGCTTGTTGGCGTTATAAGACGGTACTGAGGCAAACATTCGAACAATGACTAATTTTTTATCTTGTTTTATTCTTTTTTTTTTTTTTTTTATACTATCTTCTACATTTTTTCGTAATATCAAGAAAATATTTATTCGTAAAATCACGAACCGTGACATTTTGCAAAGTCATCTGTAACATTGTCATAACCTAACTAATATACGAAAATATAAGATAAACAGTGGAACCATCTAACTATCATCCTTTGGACTATCATACGTTTGACAAACGCCAATTATAAAAAATTTGGTTTTAGACCGTAACGACGTTCTCTCGCATGACAACAAGGAAAGCAATTTCGTACTCTCTCTCTTTTCTCTTTTCTACCCCCTTCTTCGTGTACGTACCCTCTCGTTCGTTCTCTCTTTTTATCTTTCTTTCGTGCTCTCTCTCTCTCTTTCTCTCTTTATATCTGTCTGTCTGTCTTTATCTATCTATCTTCTTTCTTCGTTCTTCTTTCTATTCTTTCTTCACTTCTCTCTAGACCTCTAACACTATATTTCTATCTCTATCTTTCCAACGAGGAATAATATAACGAATGAACAACACAATCAGAGGACGTTGTCTTCTCTCACCTAACTTTTAATCTCGTCTATGACACCGACTCCTACTCGTATCGTATCTCTTTCGTTTGTATTAACTCTTTCAACGTTCTTGTAAAGATTATGATGTGACACGTGCATTGCGCTCGTAACGACTGTAGAGGAAGAAGATTTTCACCGCAACCAATGGCCTCCTCCTGAAGCACCCTATGGTGCTAACCTGATCATCCACTACCACTACCACCACTACCACACCACATTACCACACAACTACCACCACCTCTCTTATATTATTATCCTTTTTCTCTCACGACGTACTGCTCTTCAATTCGAAATAACGACGAAGAAAGAAGAGTGGAGAAGAAGAAGAAGATGGCAGAAGAAGAAAGGCAAATAGAAAGAGAGAAATAACGGAAAAAAAACTAACTATAACAGAAAAAAGAAACCCTCGATGGATAAATGTTTCAGTTTGATGATAAGTTCATTTGACTCAACGTCATTTATATGAGTTTATTATCGTATTTCTCTATCGTTATAATATATAATATATGAAATAAAGTTGAAAACGTCGTTGATAATTTGAACGCACCGATTTTCCTCTATCGTTGAGTACCAATTGCACTGTCGATTACCGCCATTTTACTGAAGCATTCCACGAAGGATAACCGTTTCTTGTTCCCGTCCTCCCCGAACCTCTCTCACACTTACAGAATATCTTAATTTGTTCTACAAAAAATGATTATTTTTCTACACTACACTGTATTCTGTAAAAATTACTGTACGTGTTATTGCGTCTTGAATACACCACCGCACTGGGAGGAGGGGAGAATCGCTAGCTCTCGTGGCGTACAAATCTTATACTTAATACAATCACAACAGTACACACGCGCACAAGCTTCCAAAGTGCCTTTGAGCACAGACTAATCGCCGCTAAGCTGTGCAAAGAGTGTTTTAGTCAACTATAACGGTTTGTTCATCCACCGTAGACGTTGAATATGCTATTTCGGGAACATTCTTCGTAGACACAGTCGCTGTACGATATACTTCATATTTTTCCCCTATAAATAACTAGGGACATTTCAATAATCGAAAAATTATTTTTTTTATTAGATCTCTCTTGTGTTCGACTAAACGAAATATCTCTTATTTTCAATTCATCTAATCATTTTTATTATTCAACGTTTTCTTAATTTTTTATTGAATAATATAAATATTGATTTAAAATTTATTAGATTCAAATGATCACTTTTTTTGAGCAGTCCTTAGCCAATGAAAAACAAGTTCCGGAGTGGGGAATTATTGATATACTAAGAAATCTTTAACTACGATCACATTCTTATAATTCTTTGGTTTTAGACGTTGGTATCTTGTGATGTATCCATGTTGTTTACGTCATTTCCGTTAAAATAGCGATTAGTTGCAATACTTGTGATAGCGTCCATTTTCTTTCGGCCATCTTACGTATAATCGCGATATTGTGCGTTGAACTTATTTTTGTATTAGAATAGAAAAAAATTGAAATCCCTTAAATAATAAATATATATATATATACACACAACACATATATATGTATATATATATACTATATATATAAATATAAAAAATATATAAATCGTAACAAACCGTACGTTTTCTAATTCTAAACTATAGTTTTCTTTCGATACTCGCGTGTATTATATTTATTTGTCGTGTGCTAATGCGTGGAATTTCAGAAAATTCTCCAACTCGCGCAATGGCGGAGGAATTGGATGTCGAAGCGATGCTGGAAGCACCATATAGAAAAGGGGTAAGAGAACATTCCAAGGCTACACGGTCTTTTATTTTTCTATATATACATATATCAATCTATCTTGTGTTCGAATTCCCGATTTGTTCTTCTCCTATAATTATTTCATTATGTTGATGCAGTACGGTGCGTTCGTATTTTGAGCGTATTCGTCGTCTGTTAAGATAAAAAAAAGATTAATAATCTCTTTTTCTCTCTCTCTCTCTTTCTCTTTATATATATAAATAAATATATATATATATACATATATATCCTCCTCCTCTCTCAATATATACATGTAGAACAAAGTACATCCTTGACTGATTCTATTCTATTGATCAATACCTCCATTTTTTGTACTTATAGATGGTACGTAACATGTACCCTCGCGCTCGTAGGATGTTCGGCAGCGAGTTCCTAGAATGCACTTGAAATACGAGGTATTAAGACAAGTCATCACTAACATCATTCTGTACTTCTTTTATTTTATTTTGATGAAACATAATTTTGTTAATAATTAGGATGTAGCTAGTATCGCTATGGTCAAGTACTGCATTTCAGGGAAGGAAGATTCTATTAATGATTTTTCAATAATATTAATATATTTATATTTACAATATTTAATATTAACCTACTTTTTTGTTGTCGTTGTTTTTTTTTCCAAAAATGTTTAGATAATATATTATAAATTACTAAATATATATTAGATTTTTATACAAACTATGGTTACTTAGCGATATACGACTTATGCTGAAGAGGCACTGGTACAGAAACAATTTCTTACTTCGATAGGTGGATATCTATTTTCCTTGAGACACATTTTGTTCAATGTTCATTCCTTTTTCTTTACTTTCATAAGTTATTACTAATTTATTCGTTCTTATTATTTATCTATATAATTATTTATCGACATACAACAGTTGATTACAGTATAAAGCATCATTCATAGTTTATTTAAATTATGCCAAGTTTATTTCGGTTTTAATTAAGGAAACTAGTGTCTGAGGAAAAATGTTTTTATTGTCTCTCTGTTATCTTCTTCTTGTCAAGTTTAAATGATTAACATTAAATGAAAAGAAATGAAGTCATAGTAAGGTATATATTTTGTATTATTATTAACCATACTTAATAGAATATTCAAAAACTATATGTTTATTATGATGTAATTTTATTGTTGTATAATAGTAAATATGCCTTATTTTTATTAGTATGGAAATTCTTATTTATATCTTTTTCTATCTCTTTTTTTCTTCTTTTCTTTTCTTTTCTTTTCTTTTATATAAAAATATTTCATAAAATTATATACATTGTTCATTATCATTGATTATTGCTCCTTGTATAAGGATACTATATACATGTGCTACTGTAATATATACAGTATACCATACCACAATATTTTGTATTTCATAAAAATAAAAAATCGTGTATTCACATAATAAAACTATATTATAGGAAATTGATAAAACTTTCCAATCTATTCAATGGTCATATAATCATATAAATATATTTGAAACTCATATCTTTATTACATTCATTTTTCAAAAGTGTCATATCAGCGTTCTCATGTGAATACACATAGAGTAGAGTGTGTGGTCTTGGTATTAGAAATATTTTAATATAATATTACCTTGTACAGTGAGACATAAACACATGGTAAACTGGTGCGTAATGAAAAGTGTAAAAGATAGAGTAATGCACAGATGAACATGTTTTCAGAAAATACACATTCATAAAAATGTTCTATTTAAAAAAGAAACAATACATGCAAAGGTCTTATTTTTAAATTGAGAATTTCTCTATAAGTTATATACATTTTATTTCAATATCTTGATCACGTAAAATAACTTTTGAATATTAATATATCAATATGATACAAAAATGTAACGCAGGAATGACCATTAATCATTATATTTCATCGTGGAGTAGCTATTATATTAAGCATGCAAGGGCTTTAGGCTAGCAATTAGGGTTCACATCACGTGTTACATTAAAAACGTACTGTCTTTGATGAGGGCTCTCTTTTACAGAAGAAAAAGGATGTGTGGTTGGCCATTGGTAGTTTAAGACCAAGGCATGCTCAACCCAAGATTGCAATGCTTTCCTAAAACCCGATAAAACTATTGGTAAGTCTGAGTAAGGTGTATGCGACGACTCGCAACACTAAGCTCACCCCGTCTCTCTTGTTCTCTATTGCTATTCCTTTATCTCAGCCGCCCTGAGACCGCTAAAGTCTGCCTGGAAAAGACAAAAGAGCACAAGAGTTGTACCACCATCCGGCAATCATCTCTATATTCGCAAAATTTCGTGCTCAAGGGAGAATTATCAACGTTTTCATTACTAGCAAAGTCAACTTAATGTTACATTTAAGTTTTTATAGCTACTGTTTCAATTCAAAATGTTGAACATGCACAAAACTCATTATTATGAAACCTACTAACGTTCAATGATTTGCTTTTTGTCCCCTTGTTCGCGCAACCCCTGCCACATCGGCTGGCTGGCATGGCATTCAACTGTTTGCTGTTCGTAGGAGCAGGACTCCTCATCCAAAGACAAGTCCTCCAAGGAAAATGAGTCTAGTCGCAAAACATCTGGGTGAGTTTATAAAATATCTTTTTTATCATTATTATTATTATTATCATTATTACCATCATTTTTACTTTTATTCTCATTTTCTTAAATACTTTGTATGTAAGGTATAGTAGAAAGTATTTTCTTTTTATACATATCTATGTTACTTTTAACATCAATTTTTTAAGATGGCCAATTAGCACATCTTAATAATATAAGTTTTTATACAGCATGTAAATGAATAGGCTCTCTTTTAAAAATTATTATAGTAAAAGTGAAAAAAAGTATTCTTTTCGACACAAATTATTCAGCAGATCACAAGTTTAATTAATGCAATATTAAAGATGAATATAAACTTATCTTAGCAATGGCCATTTGAAGTTATATTCTCTTTGTTATAGAATCCATTCAATTAGTGTAAATGCGGTTATTTTGATAATTCCAAAGGTTAGTCTTCTAAATGGTAAGTACATAGGACCAAGAATAATTGAAGATAAATTTATTTACAGTAAGTGGTCATTTGTATTTGAACTAAAAGAAAAAAGAAAGAAAGCAAAAAAAATATAAATATTTAAGACAATCAGTTTCATTGTAGGAACAATACAATGTTTCCATCCAAAAAGATAATAATTTTGTTTGTAAAAGTATTCATAAATTGCTATATTTAACCCCTTGCACTATAACAACGCGTGAGACTCGTGGATACGATTTACAGCCCAAATATAAGAAACACGGATTCTACTCGTTATAAATTTTACGGACCAAACATAGGAAGCAGGAAATAACGCACTGAATATGACACATAGCTCTATGCATTAAATCATAGTGCAAGGAGTTAATTATATTATTGATAATAAAGTCCTTAAAAGAAAAAGAAAACTTAAATTCAAAGATATGAAAATATGCATTCACATAATATCTTCTATTGTGAACAGAAATTGTATATATATATATATATATATATGTATATATATATATGAAAAATAAATTCATCATTTACTATCATAAGCGCGTTGTTTATCTTATTCGTAGATAATTAAACATACATTTGACAATATATAAATTAAGAAATATTTGGAGAATATAGAATATAAAAATAATTAAATATTAAATTTATTGTACAAAGACATGTTATCATTAAAGATCATGTTTGGATATTATATTTTTCTCCCTAATTCTTATGTTTCTGTTTTTAGGAAAAGCAAGCATCGTTCTCGTTCCCGTTCACGATCTCGCGACCGCCGAGACAAAGACCGCCGTGATCGCGACAGGGACAGGGATAGAGACAGGGACAGAGACAGAGACAGGGACAGGGACAGGGACAGAGATAGGGATCGTGACAGGGATCGTGACAGGGATAGAGACAGGGATAGAGACAGGGATCGTGAAAGAGATCGTGAACGCAGACGAAGATCCCGATCGAGAGACAGGCGAGATCGTGACCGAGACAGAGATGGAGATAGAGACCGAGATCGAAGAGACAGAGACAGAAGAAGAAAAAGATCTCTTACACCTATCACATTACCTAGGGCTCGACCACCTTTTGGTAAAGGTGTTAGTCCTCTTGGCATGTAAGTATTTAATTAGAATAATACATTAAAGTTTTCAATAAAAATTTCAGTTAGAAAGATTTCTTTTAACATTATTTTTCATTTTTAGTAGGAACGATGAGTTGACACCTGAGGAAAGAGATGCTCGTACAGTATTCTGCATGCAACTAAGTCAACGGATACGTGCACGTGACTTGGAAGAATTTTTCTCTAGTGTTGGCAAAGTTCAAGATGTTAGACTGATTACATGTAACAAAACGAGACGATTCAAAGGAATTGCATATGTCGAATTTAAAGATCCTGAAAGCGTTACACTTGTAAGCCATTTTTTTTTTTTTGTTTATTTGATTTGATAATTATATTTAATGTCTTTAATATTTTTTATTAATTTTATTTAGGCGCTTGGATTATCAGGTCAAAAGTTACTTGGCGTTCCTATAGTAGTACAACACACTCAAGCAGAGAAAAATCGGATGGGTAATTCTATGCCAAATTTAATGCCTAAAGGACAAACAGGACCTATGAGATTATACGTAGGTTCACTTCACTTCAATATAACAGAAGAGATGCTTCGTGGGATTTTTGAACCGTTTGGAAAAATTGATAACATTCAATTAATCATGGATCCTGAAACTGGTAGAAGTAAAGGTTATGGCTTTTTAACGGTAAGTTTTATTTGCATGCAATCGTATTATAAATTTATATCAATTTTTATTAATTAACTATTACCAATATATTTACAGTTTAGAAATGCGGACGATGCTAAGAAAGCATTAGAACAATTAAATGGTTTTGAGCTAGCTGGTAGACCAATGAAAGTTGGAAATGTAACAGAACGCACTGATTTAATTCAAGGTCCTTCACTTCTAGATACAGATGAATTAGATCGAAGTGGTATTGATCTTGGTGCAACTGGCAGGTAAATTTATAGTGAATCAAAAATATATATGCATTGCATTATTTAATTTCATTGTTGTTTGTATAATTATGTTCTATATATTTAATTAAATTATCCAATGTTCATTTTATAGATTACAATTAATGTTCAAATTGGCTGAAGGTACTGGTCTCGAAATACCTCCAGCAGCAGCTAATGCATTAAATATGGCACCTGTTATCTCTGCTCCACCACCACCACCGCAAGCTGCGCCACCAATAGCCACACAATGTTTCATGCTATCAAACATGTTTGATCCACAAAAGTAAGTATATTTTATGACTTTACATTGATTAATACACGAACAATTTATAGATGTTTAAGGATACAGAAAAAATAAATTAACGTTATTTAACCCTTTCGCTACGGGACGGATCTCCGCCGAGGTACTCCCGCAGTACGGCGCGCTACACCGAAACAGTACACGGTGCACGCAACGTTCGAGCCGGTGTCGTAAGACTTATGATCGAGGCATTTGGTTTATTATTAAAGCCCGTAAAAAACAAATGATGCGAAACGAAAGACTCATGCGGCATGTTTAGAGTGAGATACTCTGTGCATAGTAACTGCAGCGCTTATCATATATACAATTACGCGACATCTTTAGCGGGAGCGACTATAGTCGCCCATAGTACCTGAGCGGCATCACATGGAAAGCGACTATAGTCGCCCGTAGTACCTGAGTGGCATCACATGGAGAGCGACTATAGTCGCTCGTAGTAGCGAAAGGGTTAATAATTGCATTAAGCATATATAAGTAGATCCAGTTTGAGTACTTACTTTTACTGGAGGAACAAATATGCAAGATTAAATAAATATACCATTTTTATATCGCTACACAAATATAATAAATGTCAGTGATAGAATGGTTATCTAACATGAACATTTTTAAATAAACGCGAATTTATCTATTTTATTTTTAAATCGTTCTGTATAAAAAGAAGAGAAAACAAAAATCTAATGCAATATGTTTTGTTACAGTGAAACAAATCCAAATTGGGCAAAAGAAATACGTGATGATGTAATAGAAGAATGTAATAAACATGGCGGTGTATTACACGTATATGTGGATCAAGCTTCTCCACAAGGGAATGTTTATGTTAAATGTCCATCAATAGCAACGGCAGTTGCTGCAGTTAATTCATTACACGGCCGGTGGTTTGCTGGTCGTGTTATAACTGCTGCTTATGTACCAGTTGTAAATTACCATTCTCTTTTCCCAGATGCTATGACTGCTATTCAATTATTGGTCCCAACTGCACCTCGGCGGGGAATATGATCTCAAGTGAATCAGACCACTTAAAATGTACATTTTTTGGTAGCATTACAATAATTGTGCTGATATCCTTCTATTCCTTCTCCTCTTTCTCCTTCTCCTTTTCTCCATTCTCTTTCCCTTAAAAACAAACCGCGCTTAAAAAAAAGAAAATAGAAAAGAAGAAAAAAGAAAACGTTTTTTAATATTCTTCACGATATATTAAATTAAGTATCATTTGTGTTTAATTGTATAATATTTTTTTTCACAATTAGTTCTTCTATTTTAACCCTTTAGCTACAGCGGTCCTCGCCGTGGAGTGCCTTGCGTCGAACGAAGCACCGTGCTGAAAGTACGAACATTAAGCGCGCAACAGTCTTCAACAACATTCAAAGCCAAGACTTTTGTTTCAAAAACGACTTTGTAACATTACTTTGGCTCCATTTCTGTAAGAGATGCGACAGGTAACTATAGTCACCAGTCATGTCCATGTAGCGTTTTGTGGTGGGTGACTATAGTCACCTGTAGTAGCGAAAGGGTTAAAAACTTATAATATCTAAGGATCATATATTTCATTTATTATTATTTTTATTTTGTTACTAGCAACCAACAGCTGTGTACAGAATAATAATAGGATTTAATAAAAAAAAAACTTAAACGCATTATTACGTTAGTTAATATTATTATTATTATTATTATTATTAATTGGCATTAGGAATTCGAAAGTTCATTGCTGCAAATATTAAATTTCACCAGTGTTCCCGAAGTGATAAATCATAATTGATGTATATTATTCTGGTCAAAAGCACTGTCATTGTAGAAAATCATTTGTGAAAATTTCCAAATTATCATGTTAAGTATGTGAATATAATATATATAAATACAAAAACTTGTTCTCTGGCGAAGTATTATTCTGTACGAATTTAGAAAATTATTATTAATCAAAGTTAAGTAAGTTATTACATTAGTAGAATTTACATAATTATTTATATTAAGAATTTATAATGAAAGAAAATCTGCCTTTGAAAGATTAAATCTTTGCAAATTTTATATGACCAACCTATATAAAAAAGAAAATACAATAAATAATCTCTATACATACTACAATTCTATATGAATGTTCATAAATGTAAAAAAAAGGCGCAATGTATTTTAAAAATATAGAAATTAATATTTATCGCTCATATTGCAGTCAGTAAATTTCTTTTAAATTTTATTTAATTATTATTCATACGTGCATTAAATAGTGAGTTCGATGTTAATTGAATAAATTAATGGATTTATTATTTTGTCTATATAGTTACGTTAAGATTAAATCGTGTTATTCATGTAAATATGTAATGGTCAAATGGTTCGACTTATTAAAGATCATACTTTCAAATATAAACAAATTTTTATAAATGATACATTATATTATTATTTTCATGTTATAAAAATACTCCTTTTCTTTATATTGAACAATTATAAAATACATTAATACGTCATATTAAAAATGTTAAGAAACATTGTTGAAATTAATAAAATATACGATAATCATTGATTCAAATATACTTTACATAATTAAATTTACAATTCTACTTTTGTGTATGTATTTTTTTTCTAAATAGTTATATATCTTATATTGTTTTATGATCAAATAATTTATAAATTATGTAATATAAAAGATAATTTTTATTTTACTTTAATAATTTTAAATTCATGTATTAAATTTAAATTTCGCGCGAATAAAACTGGCAAATCAAATAGTATATAACCTCCATACTTGCATTTTCATTGCATGATACGAAATTTACCCATTTTACTTACAATTATAGTCTGTCTATATCACATTTTACTTTAAGATTAACAATAAATCAAATTGCAAATAATTAAAACATTTTTTTTTAAATATTTAAAATGAATAAAAACTATCTTATTGCAATATCACGTTTATAATTGTCATATGTTTTTAATCATAAACATATACATACACATATACATATTCATGTGTACATGCATAGAAGGAGGGAGACAAGTATAAAAAGTAAATACTTTATATTCTCTGTAAGTTATTTTATCAAGGTATTTCTTATAATTGTATTTTTTAATATAATATTATCTTTTAAAAATATCTATATTCTATCAATTGTATTATATAATACTTTATTTTTATTTATAAATTCATTTGTAAATTATAAATAACCTATATCATTTTTAAAAATGTATTTGTTTTTCTTGTTTATTTTATTACAGCAACGATGTCTGGAGAACAATTTTCTTTAATATGGAATAGTTTCCCAAGAAATTTATCTTCTGGTTTATATACTTTATTAATTGACGAGCAGCTTGTCGATGTAACTTTGACAGCGGAAGGACAGATTTTAAGAGCGCATAAATTGATATTATCAGTTTGTAGTAGTTACTTCAATAGAATTTTTAAGGTAAATCATAATTAAATAAATATTAATGACAAAAATTTTCCTATATTGATAACTATTAATATAATTTCTTAGATACTTGTGATAATATATTTATATTGTAGGAAAATTCTTGTAAACATCCAATTGTAATATTACAAGATGTCAATTATCGTGACTTATTTGCCATACTCCAATTTATGTATCAAGGAGAAGTTAGTATTAAGCAAGAGGATATTAGTAATTTTTTAAAAGTAGCTGAAATATTACAAATAAAAGGATTAACTACAGAAAGAAAGGAGGTACGTTGTTACCTTTATTAATCCCTTGCATTATGATTTAACACATTAGGGGTTAAATATCGTATCAATAAACTTATTGTTCCTTGGTTTTAGAAAAAAGACAAAACGTTGGACGATAGCGATGACAAATTAGATTATTTTGACGATATTTGTCAGAGCGATAAATTAACAGAATCTTTGAATGATAAAGAGGTACAAAAAGAAAATACTGTTTTTTCTTCCTCGGATTCTGTCATAAAGAATTTTAATAATGTGGAAAGAAATGTAACTAATGAAATTCCATATTCAAAAAATGTTATTTCTAATACGGATTGTAATTTTGAAAAAACATTATTTTATAACGATCAGACTGCAAAGGAACCTTTTGACTGTACTTCTAACATAAATCACTTGGAAGAAATGCAATATGAATCCTCTAATTATATGGCTGATATGGATAAAGCAATGTATAAATCAAATACGCCAAATAATGTATTTTGTAATATTGAGAATATACAGAAATCAGGTAACAAAATAAAAGTATTTACAATTATGCTACACACACACACGCACACACACACAAAATTCAAATTGATATTATAAATAATTTATTTGAATTGTGATAAATCAATTGAATGTTTGGAAATAATTTTATTTAATATTACAGATTTAGAATCAGATACGCAATTAAAATCTGCTGGACAATCTCTTGGTACGTGTTTCAACTTGGTGTATATCATTAATGCAATGAATATAATTATTAGCATCAAATTTCTAAGTGCAATAATTCTATTATTTCTTCCCTATTGTAAGAAGAAAAAGTATTTAATATCTAGATTGTATATTAAATCTAAAATTTTTACTGTACATTTAAGAATAATTAAATTCTATTTAATAAATTCTATTTTTAAATTAACAAAATCTTGTAGACTGTTACATAATATTGTTACTTTTACATGTGTCTAATATATATGTATACATGTACTAGGTCTGACTAATATGGTGATTGAAGAACATAAAAACTTGAAATATGACGCAGCTAATCGTGGCAAAAGGCGTAAATATAACGCAGATAATTGTGGCAAAAGGCGTAAATATAACAACAAAGGTAATCGTAATAGTGCGTTATCCCCAGAAACAATATTACGTCTAGTTTCAGAAATAAGACCAACGTTTCAGATGGAAAAGGGTAAATTAGTGCAGGTTTATTCGTGTCCTAGGTGCCTTCGTAACTTTACGCGTAGAGAAAATTTAAAATTACATGTTCGTTATATTCATGGTCCGCTGGAAATTCTTACATGTAAGCTTTGTGGTAATAAATATAAAAATAGCAACAGCTTGCGTGTACACTCTTACCTTTATCATAATGCTAAACGGAATAAACATAATAAATCGTTTGTAAATAACAGTAAATAGGAATGGAGAGGATTATAAATATTTTTTATATATCATGATAATTATAATAACCATTATTAAAATATATATATATATAAATATATACATATATTAGTTATTAGGAATTATTATAATTGTTACTTAAACTTGTTATACAATTCTATTACAAATAATTCATTAGTATCCGTATTTAATAAGTTACATTTAGTAATAATAAATTTATATATAGAAATAAAAGGAGATATATATTTTTTCAGTTTTTGACTACTAACATTAACAATTTATTTATTTTAATTTCTCTTTAAAGGCATTTTAAACATAATGTGAGTTATACTATAATAAAATGTACAAAATAATAAACACTCTTTTATAAAGAGATTACAATGTTATTAAATATATTTCTTTTTCTTATTACTAAATATAATATACGTATTATTACTATTTTATAGAGAACAAAAACATTATTTTATTTATGAATTAGTATTGGCACTGATGTACATATATATATCAGTTCAAATTTATAGTAAGGCATACGATGTTATACGATGCTATACGATGTGTTACGATGTGATACGATGTTATACGATGAGATACGATGAGATACGATGAGATACGATGAGATACGATGTTATACGATGTTATATGCTAATCAAAATCACTGACATGTAACATAACCTATACGATATTATGTATGTATACAAAGTGTATTCAGTATTAAATAACAATTTTTATTTAATTATTGTAAACTACTAAGTATTTTGTTATAGACTTAATATAATAATGAGTGATTCCGAGGATGAAAATTATGCTACTTTTGGTACAGCTTTGGAACCACTGGATGAAGGTATTATAAATAATTTAATATTTTTTTATAAATATCAAATATATTGTTGTATAATATCTTAATTGATTGAACGTTGAACGAATTTTACAGAAAATTTACCAAGAAAAAAAGCTGTTACTGTAGAAGATCAATATGCCTATGATGCACAAGGTAGACGTAGATTTCATGGTGCATTCACCGGTGGTTTTTCTGCGGGATACTTTAATACCGTTGGAACTCGTGATGGATGGAAACCACAGCAATTTAAATCTTCCAGAGGTACTAAAGCGAAAGCAGTCGCTCAACAACCAGAAGATTTTATGGATGATGAAGATGTAAGCATATTTGGCATAGCACCGAAAGGTATAAGAGCCAATAGTGATTACGAACATCATGGTCAAAAAGGTGTTAAAAGAGGAAGAGCTGAAATGATTAATAATAAATTCCTGTCATATAATCCTGTACTAAAAGAACTTCTGAGGCCTGTTAGGTAAGTGTTTATTAAAATTGATTATAATAATATTATATGTATATATGTATTAATGTAATATTTTAATACGATGTAAAAATTATAGAGAAACAGTTGGTATCGCTCTTTTAAAGAAAATGGGATGGAGACCAGGACAAGGGATAGGAAATAGGGTAACGAAGAAAGAAAAGATCAAAGCAAAACAACAGATAGAAAAAGTTAAAGTATATGGCTGTTCGTTGCCCAAAAACCAAGAAAAAGAAATTGATAATAATTATGATTCTGATGATGAAAATCTTGATATTACTTTTGCTCCTGATGATTACGAGCCTTTTAGGTAAATATTAATTCATAATTAATGATATATTTTTAACAGATTTGATTATACTAAATATTTGTATTTTATAGGTCTAAAGGAAAAGATAATTACTTTGGTATTGGATACAGTGGATTAAACAGACAAAATGTTTTATCTAATCAGGTAAATGAAGAAAATAATTATCAAAGCAATAATAAAAATCTTCCAATATTTGGACATGCATTTGGAGTTGGTGCTTTTGAAGCAGACGATGAGGATATTTATGAAAGAGAAGATATGTCTCGATACGATTCAGTACTAGGACCAGAACGTAAAAGTAAAACGAGATGGTCAAAGGAAAATATTTCAAATGACAAGGAAAGTAATTCTGTAGAAGGATTTGTGCAAGCAAAAGATAAATTAAATAGTAGGAAGATTTTTGCACTACCCTCTCTTCCAAAAGACTATCGTGCAATTCATCTTGTAAGAAAGAGTCGTTTTTATCCTCCAATTCCTCATCAATCATTTAATGAAAAGAGAAAGAATCTTAATGTTACAAAAAGGGCTAAAATCTTAGAAGATGTTAATTTTACCGATAAAGTAATTCAAGGACAAGTTAATACACCTGTAGAAATATTATCGTCTACAATTCGTATGCCTATTTCTAATGTTATGTCAGAACCATCCAATTCATTAGAACAAAAAGTAGAAGTTGGTAAAAATATAGTTGAAAGACAGAAGACACAAGTGAATAATCCATGGGTGGATAAATTAAATGCAAAAATATTTGTCAGTGGTGGTATTACAGGTAGAGAACAAATCACTTCCGGATTATTAAATTTACCAACTAATTTAAATAGTTCTTCTACATTTGCCGATATAGAAACGGTTAATAATCAAAATAATAAAAGTTCGTGTTTAAATGTAAATAATATGTGTAAATTAGATAGTATAGAATCACTTTCTATAATTAAATTAGAAAAAGATCCGGAGCTTACTGAATTTGAACAACCATCTAAATCGATTAAAAACGTACCAAATAATGATAATAAAAATGAGTTAAATAAATCTACACTAAATTTAACTGACGCTTTGGAACAACAAAAAGAAGAAGCTGCTAAAATGGAAATGTTTGGAAAACTAACTCGAGATATAATCGAATGGCAACCTGCAAGTATCGTATGTAAAAGATTTAATATTCCTGAACCACGAAGTTGTGGTATGCAAATTAAAGTAGAAAAGAAAACGAAGTTTTCTGTATTTGGTTCATTAGATTTCGATGTATCCTCAAGATTTTCAAAAGTGACTGAAATACCTGCCAAAGACATAGATAATAAGGCATCTACTTCTTCATATGGAAATGAATTCATAAAAAATGATGTATCTAAATCCCCCACATATTATAAGACTTCTATTGAAATTCAAGAACCACAAATAGTGTCAGAAAAAATGAAGAACTTTGAAGCTTCGTATGAAAAAGTATTTGGCAAAACAGTCGAAGAAATACCTTCAACTAAATTCTTAAAAAATAATCCTGAACAAGAATTTCTTAATGAAGAAAATAAAATACTAAATGTGGAACAACCTAAAGTTTTGAAGGATGCTGAAAAATCTGAAGATGAAGAGACTGTTAAAACTAATAAATATAATTCGGAAGAAAAGAAAGATCTTTTCAGAGCAATATTTCTCAGTAGTAGTGACGAATCAGAATCAGAAACAGAAGAAAATATAGATAACGAGGTAGTAAAGTCGGTGTTGATAGGTGACTCATCGAATGAAGTTAACATATCAAGAAATACATCACCTCCTAGAGGTATTTTTGCAAAATTAGATCTCGAGGATCTTGTGAAAAAATCAACTGTCAATACAGAAGACATTGAAAGTAATATCAAAGAGAAAGAAGCAAATTTGCCTTCTCAAGAACCGCAGACCATCGTTGAACATAATAATGAAGATAAAACCTGTGATATACCTCAAATGCCAATACCAGAAACAGTATATGGTCCGATGCTTCCTTCGAGATTGATCAAAGACAGCAATGCTATAGCAGATTCCAGTAGAAGTATAGAATTTTCTAGACCCATTTTTAAAAGTGTCGTAGTACCAAAAACTACAGAAGAATTTGAAGGAAAGTGGGTTGAGTTGCGTAAAACAAAAAAATTGAAAAAAGTTAAAAAGAAACACAAGCACAAGGAACACAAAAGTTCTAAAAGTAAAAAGAAATCTAAGAAGCATAAACGTTAATTAAAAAGACCTTTGAAAAGACTTGAAAGCTTCTTAGCTTTTATTTATTTTTTGTGTTATATGTTAGATAATACATATTATATTAGTAATTGTTATTTATATATAAGGTGATTTATTAACTATTGCTACCTAAATAGCTCCGAAAGTATGATAGTAGCTTAAAAGTTTATTCAGAAAAAGTTGCATGAAAAATTCAAGACTATAATATTACGCTAGTTTTTCTAAATACAATGCTATATATTATTGCTATCATACTTTCGGAGCTATTAAGATGACAAGAGTTAGTGAATCACGCTGTATACTGTCTCATTTCTCTTATAGAATTGAATGTTATCGGTGGGCATCTAGAGAATGGAATAATTATATATTATTTAAAAATGACATAAAAATGTAATTATAAGTGTAAAATTTAATTGGACGAATTTAAAAATGTAATACATTTTTTCAATTAATGTTGAAGCTTTTTAAATAGGAGCAGTCGCTAAAAATAATAAAATAAATTTCTATCTTTATAATAAAGATGTACATAATACAATGCTTTTGATGTTACTTAAAACAATTTAAATATATAATATTATAAAAAATTATTGAGTACATTTAAATTGCAATTATATATATATATAATCCTAATTAATTTAAAAATTGTTTTCATTATTTTAGATTAACTTAAAATGAGAATGCAATTATTCATGTAAATTAATTAAATCCAATGAATTTATTTATTTAATTACTGTGTGGTACATTACAGTATTGCAAAAATGATAATTTTATTGCGTTTTAAATGACCCGCGTGTATGTCGCTTTAGTGTGTGGCGTCTCGCACCAGCACGGTGCTGACACCTCTCGGCCGACAGCACTAACGTACTTAGGCACCGCGTGATACGGCTCTGCAGGGGTGCGCTGGTTGGCCAGTGGCATCTTCGCCCTGGCCTCGCGGCTTGACCACCGCGCAGGGGCATCTGATTCAGTGCTGTCAGATCGTGGGTAAATCTTACCCTCTCCCTGTGCCACTGGGATTGCACACAATGAAAGTTTTCCATGTCCGTGTGTTTGGGATGTCGAAAGAAGCCGAGTGTAACCGAAGTTGGCGGGCACGCCGGAGTGACACACTATGAAAGCGACTCGTGTCGTCCGAACACATGGACACGAGTCGCTTTCA